GAAAATTCTTTTCTAACTGTAAGATTTTTTCTTAAAATTTTGAAGTGAAATGAAATTAAGGATAAGATAATTTCATTTTTGATGGCATTGTAAAATTCTTGACGATCATTTGAATTGAAAAGTAAATTTTTAGAATATTTTATTGAAGTTTCTTATAATGAAATAAATAAATCAGTCTTAATTCTTACAGTTGATAAACGAAGGCAAAATATAATTTGCTAAAAATGATATAACAATAAAAAAAAACCTTTTTAAAAACTGCCATAATTTTGAATAACATATTTTGCATAATATCCTTTGTTGAAATTAAATTTTGAAGCGAATTCAATTGGATAAAACAATTCTTTTTTCCTTTTCGTCCAGTTAATAATAATATTATTTACTAATTATATTTTTAATTGAAACTTGTTAACAAATTTATGGGCATTTAGAAAACTACATGTTCAACTTGGCGATGGATCTTTTCCAAAAGTTGTCCCGGGTCGGCATGTCGTCCAGTTTCATTCGCATCCCCAACGCAAAAGCCGTCGAAGGACTTCGATTGACCGAACCCAACCAGCCACCGGTCACTTGCATCTTGTTTCTAACCCCGAATGATGCTACCTCCGGTTTTGTTCGATTGGCAAATATCAAAATGGATATTTCCAATAGAGAAAAAAATCTAATTATTTTTTTTAAGGCGGCAGAGGCTGGTGGGACTTCGAGCGATTCGGTGTCGTGGATCCATTTGCGAAACGCTTACCCGCAGCGCTCACTGACCACCGACATGGGTCTTCATCCTGACACGGAACTAATCACTGCGATCGTTCAAAAGGCTGGTACTGCGAATTTGTTCAGGTGGACGGGCTATGAACACAAGGAGACAACTTCTGTGTGGGAAGGACCGGGCAAAGCCATCCCCGCAGAACTCGCCGACAAACCGACAATTAATTTGTCTGGCAAGAAATTAAGTGTCGCAGTTTTTGACGTATTCATTAAATATACATTTTTGCATTAAGTAAACTGAATTTTTTACAGGATCATCCGTTCATTTTTGCAGACAATTTGACCGCCAACATGGCGGTAAGTGACTCGATGGTCACTGGTTGGATGATCGACGTTTGGAAAGACTTGCAAAAAATCCTTAATTTTACGTATGAATTTCAAATAAATTGTTATAGACGCGAAAATTAATTTAGAGATATTTCAGCACTACCTACTACATTCCCTCGAGGGTCGATCCACAGATCGGTTTATTCCATCGGGCAGTCGAAGAGTTAAAATCAGGTCGCGCTGACGTGATACTCTCGCCATTTGTGATTACTTTAACCGATTTCGACGAAGCAGAATTTACAGCTTCAGTTACAGACCTTCAGTAAAAAATTTTTCATCATTTTGACAGTTCTTCACTTTAATAACGAAAGTTATTAAAGTATTAATCACTTAAAACTTTAAATAAATAATAATTAAATTTTTTATATTTTAAAATCTAAATTTCAGCTATCGATTTCTCCTGCCTCGAGTTTCTGCCACGTCCACCATAGACCAATTTATCAAACCATTCCAACTTCTCCTCTGGCGCGCGACGGCCCTGGTTTTAACTTTGGCCGTTGGCCTGATAACTTTTGCCTACGTAGTGGGCCGCTACTATGGATTTGAAGAGGAAGGGACGCCTATTTTCCAAATAAAAGAGTCCATCATGATCATTTACGGGTCACTCTTTGCCCAAGGTACTATTAAATTATAATTATTAAATATTTTAAAAATAAATATAAAATTTATTAAAATAGGGCCCGACTTTGCCCCTCTGGGTTATGCGGGGAGGATCATCCTCTGGGCGACTTTTTTATTCGGAGTGGTAGTTTCACAGGCCTTTTCGGCCGCCCTGATTTCCAAACTGACCGTTGGAACTTTGGAGCCACCGTTTGATTCGCTCGAGAGCATGATTGAATCGTCATACACAGCCCTCTACTTGCCCGGTTCAGCAATACAAAAATTGATTCAGGTGATATAAATTAAAATTATTTAATTTATTTTTATAAAATAAAAATATGTGTGTATTTAGACTGCGGAAAAGGGTGCTTGGAAAGAATTACGCGATCGGAAGCCGCACCCCAGAGTAATTGCGACGCCATCGGACGCTGTGATTGAAGTTTCTAACCCTTGGACGCTGTCCACGTTTCTCGGCGCAAAGGAACGAATCCTTCCGCTCATCAACAAACCACCGCTCAACTGCAAAACCACCCTTGTGCCGACGAATATTCTGCATGCGCCAGCCCAACTGATGGTCTCAAAATCATCCCCTTACAAATCAGCCATAAACCAGGAGTCAGTTTATATTTTTTAATCACATACTAGATAAAAAAAATCAATTATTTTTTTGTTTTAGATTGATTTCAATGCAGGCAAGTGGGCGATTGGCTCGGATCCGTTCCGCGTGGATGGGCCTTTTCTTCGAAGAACCCTGCCCGAAGGAAACAACCCTGGAGCAATTCGGCATGGCGAATGTAATTCTGCCCTTTGCAGTTTTAGGAGGAGCTTTGTTCGTTGGGGTTCTGATATTGGTAGTGGAGTTTTTGATCAAAAAATGGTTCGGCCGCCTTTTGAATGACAAATTCGATGAGAAGAGCGAGCTCCAGGCTATTGCGAGAAGGCAGGGGGTCAGAATTACAAAGGGTTGGTACCTTGTGAGGCAAAAAATGCCAATCAAAGAGGCAAAGGAAGAGTAAAGAGAGGAAAAAATTTGGTAATAAATATTTTTTTGTTTCAAATCAAAATCATTCAATTCGCATAATTATTTGGTGAAATGTATGTTCGCGTGACCGATTAGAGCAGATTGCCTTTTAAATAAAAAAAATCTTCAGTGAGGAAATGAGTGTTTACTTCTAATACTTCTCTCTTTGGAGCAAAATACTTACAACTTTATTAATGAAACAAAATTTTTATCATTGAATTCTTCATCAAACTTATGTCGTGTTCACTGTGTCGTTTTTTAAACTTTCAAGTATATTTAATAAAAAAAGGTATCTCAATTCCAAAACGTATATTGCCTAGAGTTTTCCCACCCCCGTCATATAGAAAATCAGTTTCGAACTGTTGACATTGGTGTTGACAACGCTCTCTTTTTTCACTGACAAAGGCGCCGCAAAATAAGCCACATTAGCATCTATATGAAGAGGGTGTTGGCGCACAGCAGTGATGAATTTATAATTAGCCAGGTCAGGTCCCACGATTAAAATTCAAACCCGCCTTGGGTCGCGAATGCTTGTTTGCCACCCCACCACACATATGGAAAACTGCCCCGGTCCATCGGCGGATTAAATAAACGTGCAACGCGCGGTGGTCCTTCAACGTGGTGTAGCGAGAGAGAGAAAAACTCTTTTGTTCCGCGATCCCATCACCCCCTCTAAATCAATTGTGTGCGGTTATGCAAATTAGTTCCGATTTATTTGTTGGTCTGCATTCGTACATATTTGTGTGTGGTTCCGAGTAAGGAAGAATACGAGTGTGGGAATATTTGACCAGATAAAAAAAAGTACAAAATAAATCAAAATTCTCACTTGCATGGTAAAATTTTCAAAGATTTCATAATTGAAGTGATTCAATCATTAAAAAATATTAAATTTAAAAATATTATAAATTACAATTAGTTGAAATTATGTAGGTTTTTTTATCTTTCATTGCAGATAAAATTCGTAAATTTTAAAATTTAAAAGTGAATGGATTAATTCAATTGTAATTACTAAAAACTCACCTATTGGAGGTTGCTGGTTTTTTTTATAAATATTCCTCCCTGATGGTCACCTCTCTTATAAATGTCACGGCTGATTTTTCAAAAACGATTATCCGGCCACCGATTTCCAACTCGGCTGCTGCTGATTGATTGTTGTTACACAAACCATTTACAAGGGCCAAAGGGGCTGCTCTCGACAGACAGGCGACCGCCGCCGCCGCTCACTCCCGGGGGTGGAAGCGACGACTGGTGGCACGCGCCGTCCCCTCGCACGCCGCCGGCAACACACAATGCGAGACGAGTGCAAATTAAGATTTCACGGCTATCGCCCTGTTTGTAAATACTCTCGAGTGGTTTGCTTCCGCGGTATACATCGGCAAATCGGAAATTATTCACGCTATAATAAAAATAATCAGAAATACGAGCTACATAATTTCAGGCAGAGTTGTGATTTTAAAATATTTTAAGAAAACAAAATGCTATAAAATAAGTTTAAACTAAAAAAATTTAAACATTAATCAAGATTATATTTTTATTGATTTTCTTTAAAATTCATTAATTTTAATTTTTATGATATATTTTATAGCCGTTTTTAATTATTTTTTTTAGTTAAATTTGGATGATTTTTTATGAATTTCATTCGCTTTAATATCTATATTAATTAAAAAATTGGTATTAAATGCGTAAATAATTCAAACTGAGGTATCCAATTTTCTGCAATACCGCACTGTAAAAATTCAGTTTTATACGATTAACTTATCATTGATTAAAGCATTATTGTATTACATTGTAAGACCAAAATTTACGCGTCACAACAATTAAAGACAACAATTTGATTACTTCTTGAGCTCCGTGATTGTTATCTGGGTTTAAAAAGCAGCACTTATTCTGAGGAAGCTCATCAGCCTTGAAATTTCCATTATTTATGCTTAATCCATGATTTTATAAATCAAGATTTTTCTTGTGCTTACTATATAAAATTCGGCGAACTTGAATTATTTTCTTTCAAGAATCTTAAGAATTTTAAGAACTAGTAAATTTTATTTAAATTTTTATATGAATTATTATTGAGATTAAACATAAATTCCAAATAAGTCATGTGTCATGTTATATTTGGTTTTAATTTATTTAAATAGAAATAATTTTCAGAGAGACTTCAACTTTAACGAAATTGCTTTTGCCTTAAATTTTACCTGAAATCAAAAATTCGCAATGCATTTTCAATATTTAGCTCCATAATCAATAAATTAATTTCTATTAAAATTAAATAAGCTCTGCGGGCGAAGTAAATGAAGCAGCCATGCTGGGAAAATTGTCTCGGGAAATCGATTCGGGGCGTGTATTTGCGACGAGCAACGGGGGTGGCCTCTGCCCTCGGATGAGAGCTCTCGCAGCATTGGCCGAGGGCATCTCCTATAAAAGCACCCCCGTCGGTCCCCGGGGACAGAGCGAAATGCAATCGACAAGGATGCAGGCGGACAGCAGCAGCAACTCTTTCAAGATGCAGAACTATGGGGGCCTGTACGAGGGTCAGGGGGACGAAGACGACTTGCCCTCCTGCGCCTACGCCGGACGCTCCTCCATGCAGCACTACCTCTCGCTGGCAGGTAAGAAAAATTATTGAATTTTTATAAATTTAGTGAACTTTTTTGTTAAATCTTTATTAAAAAGTAATGTATATATTTTAGTGGTTTTATTAATATCATTTAATTAAATTTCTGGAAAAATAAGAGCAGATATAATTATAAATTTTGTCAGTTTTAGTTTATATTTTTTTTTAAGGAGAAATCCCTCATTTTATTGTACCTTAAAAGTAGTAAAATATAAATAAAATAAAAATACAAAACGATATTGTGTAATTTCATATTTTTAACCAGAATGGCAAAGATCTGTACCCAAAATTTAGAATATATTAAAAGAAGAATTTGAAAAAATCTAGAAACTTAAAAATTAAATATAAAATGCAACCTTTTTTTTTTAGAAAAAATTGATTGATTTGATTTTTTTCTTTTTTTATTAAGATGAGCAAGGAGAGGCCCTTTTGGTTGGAAATGGGGATGACGTGCCCTCCGGAGGGATGAACCTCGGCGCGTCCTCAGCGGCCGGCTCCAGCAGCAGTTACTACCACCAGCAGGGTGCGTGTTCCAGCGGAGGCGGCGGCCCTGGAGGCGGCAGTCCGTACCGAGTGCAGCGCCACGCAGCCAACATCAGGGAAAGGAAAAGAATGCTGAGGTCGGCACCTACCCTCGGCCCCAAGGATACCGTAAAGATGTGAGATTTACGGCCGGGGTATAGACCAAAGATTCAGGGAGGGGGTGCACGCAAAATCCATGCCAGAGGCCGGTTTCGTAAATTTCTAAAAAATTAAATCTTGGGATTGTTTACTTTTTATATAAAAAAAATTCCCTCTTTCTCTTTGTATCAATTTTAAATTATTTCATGCACGCAACTTTTGAACAATTTTGCTTTTTCATTTTGAAGCTAATTGTAGGAGATTTTTGAGTTCTAATGAATTTCCTTTTGCGGGTCCAGCAGCATCAACTCTGCCTTTGATGAACTTCGAGTCCACGTCCCTACTTTCCCCTACGAAAAGCGTCTGTCCAAAATCGACACCCTGCGTCTGGCCATCGCCTACATCGCCCTGCTCAGGGAGGTCCTGCTCACCGACTACGACCCGCTGACCTACGTGGAGAAGTGCCTCCGTGGTGAAATCAAACCGGAGCGGGCAGAGTGGAATACAAGCGGTGAGTTCAGGAATTTTTAATTTTTACATATTTATTTTCCACTTTAATAATTCCAATGAGTTGTAAAAACCAATCAAAAATTAATACAAATTTCAAAATTTCCTTATTTTGATTTTAAATTAGATCTCACCGCACGACTTTCCTGGATCAACTGGGAGAATCTGGGTGTCAATCCCGGCCGCAGGGGCGTTTTGACCAATCTGACATTGACTGCCGACAACATGAGCGGTTAAAATATTACCGCAATTTTCCCCATGGATGTGGTGGATATTAAGGAAAACTGTGATAGATTCAATACTAGTCCTTGTTGTTTTTGATGTGGTTGTGAAAAATGTGGCGTGAATAAAAAACGAATCGTTATTTCAAAAGAGCAATAATTTTTCCTTATTAATTTTATTTCTTATTTAAAAATATTAACTTTTGAAATATTATTATTTATTGATTAATCTTTTTTACTAATTGTAAGCGTAATTGAAAGATGGAGATAAAATCAATTAGATTAAAAGCTGCAACACAGTAAAATTCATTGGGGCCCAAAAACAATGAATATGAATTATGTATTTCTTTAATAATTAAAAAATCAACTACTGCTGTAATTTATTAAATTAAAAAATTGGGTTCTATTCTTTTCCTATTCCACAAATACATATTTTAATTTTTGATAAAAATAATAATTAGCTGAAATGCAAATTAGTATTCAATCAATCTATTTAAATTTATAAATAAAATTTAATATTTGCAGTAAATAGAAAAAAACTATTTTTAGTTAAATTCATACAACAATTCAGTTTTAAAAGTTTTTTCTATTTTACTTTTTTAATATATCCTAATTTAACTTGAAAGTAAAGTTTAAAAATAAGGTGCAGTCGTAAGTGAATTTAATAGTTATTTGGTAAAAAGTTGCTTATCACTTCTATAATTTATATTTCTGCCACGTTTTATAAATGGCGTGTCACGGCGCCTGTCGGAATAAACACTTCAGAGACTTTCCTCGACGTTTCTAGATATTATATAAAGCTTTTGGCCATTCCTGCTTACTCATTACTCACGATGGCTCCAACCAAGCTGACGTATTTTGGACTAACGGGCCGAGGCGAGCCCATCAGGTTCCTCCTGTCCTACGGCGGAGTGGTTTTTGAAGATGAGCGAATGACTTTTGAGGAGTTTCACGCCCGAAAAGAAGGTATATACGAATTTATTCATTTAAACTATTTTTATATTTAATTATGATTTTTTTTATCAGAATTCCCACTCGGTCAAGTTCCTGTCCTTTCAATTGAGGGACAGACGATCTATCAGACTGTCGCGATTTGCCGATTTCTGGCCAAACGGTTCGACCTGGTGGGCAAAGACGAATGGGACGCTTTGAATTGCGATATCGCAATTGACACAATCAACGACATCGGCATTGGTTTAATTAAAACAAATGCTTAATTTTAAATAATTTTAATTATGTAATTTTTTCAGCAATGCTGCCATTCGCCACGGAGAAGGATGAAGAAGTGAAAAAACAGAAGCGCGAAGCCGCCATGGGAAAAATAAACTATTTGATTGACAAACTCGAAAGCCAGTTGAAGAAAAATAACGGACACTTCGTCAAGGGCCAAGTTAGATATTTTAAATGTGGACTTATTTCTCAATTTTTCATTAATTGTTTCATTTTTTCAGCTTACTTTTGCCGATTTTTACTTTGCCGGGGTTTATTCCGCGTTCGTCTACCGGTGCGGCGAATGGGATTTGTTCGCCGACAAACCTCTTCTGAAGGCGTTGAAGTCGAAGGTAGAATCCCTGCCGGCAGTTCGGGCGTATATTGAGAAGCGTCCGCCTGGGCTTTATTAACTTTACGTTATAAAAAAAGCCTGTAAATGGAAATTGCAACCATTAAATTTTGACATAACTACAAGCAAAAATCAGTTAGTCTTATTCAATGTAAAATATGCAAATAGCAGAATGCGCAAACACTGGTGTCCTTTTTCGGTGCGTTATTTGTTCTGAAGAGCGAATTCAAGAGCCCACACTTCACTTTTCTTTCATCTCCATTAACCTACGGTTTGACACTTGAGGTATATAAACGCCGAAAGAATCTGACCAAAGTGCAAATTATACCAGCAAAATCACAATCATATTTGCTTACTTCATTATTTGTTATCAATTGCGTGCGGATTTATTCGACTCTACAGGAATTTAACTTTTAATAATTAATGACGTTATTAATTGTAAGATAATGACGCGCTAGTGCAAAAAGTGCGCGTGACTAAACCTCGCTCCTATAACATTGTTATATCCTCTTCCTTTGTTCGTCAAAAAGTTGAGTTAAGAAAATAAAAATAAAATTTGTCATGCCTTCCAAGGTTAAAGTCGAGGCCACTGACGATCACGTCATTGCTAAACCTCCCGTTCCAAAATTACATTTATGAGGAGTGGTGCATCCAACGTGTGGGTTTGGATCTTATCATTTTTAGTCTCTTTTAATAGGCACACCATTATCAGTCAGCGGCTCTTATCACTAACGAAAAGCTCCCTAAATAGCTGCTAAAAGTGGCACCTGCTGCACAGTGAATCGAACCGAGCGCCGAAGAAAATAATAAAATGCCCGAGACGAAGCTGACGTACTTTGGGCTGACCGGCCTGGGCGAGGGAATTCGCTACCTGCTCACATATGCGGGAGTTGATTTTGAAGATTTGCGAATTACCAGGGAAGAATTTGCCACCTTGAAGGAAAGTAAGCATCGTTTGGTTGTTTGTTTAAAAAATTATAAAAAACTTTTGGAAAAAATTGAAAATTCTAGTAATGAAGCAGAGCAGATTATTAGTTAAATAGTATTTCTTTAATCAACGCATTAATTGACCTTTATGGAAAAAATTAATATTTTCGCTGAAGAATGACGAAGAATCAATTTTTTTAAAGGATAGCAATTGAAGTTTATGGTTATAAAGAAAAACACTTTCACTACTACAAATGCTTTGTAAAACCGTCTAAATCCAAAATAGGTCCATATTTGTAAAGCCATGAAAATTCTCAAATTGACTAAAATTCTCTCATTTTTTCAGATTCATTATAAATGGCTATTTTTTTGTAATTGATTCAATTTATATTAAAATTTATTTGCGACTGCTTTTTCTTTTAATAACTGCTCTTTATTAAATTTCTCAGAATACCCTCTTGGGCAGGTTCCTGTTTTGGAGTTTGAAGGCAAAACTCTTTACCAATCAAAGGCCATTTGTCGCTTCTTGGCGAAGCGTTTCAACTTGGCCGGGAAGGACGAGTGGGACGCCCTTTGGTGTGACGTTGCAGTCGACACAATCGCAGACGTCGGAATGGGTATAAAGTATAAATCTTTTTATTATTTTGTTAATTCCGTTTTATTTATATTTATGAAAAGCAATGATCCCGTTTGCGTCTGAAGACAATGCCGAAGCAAAAAGTGTAAAGAAAGCAGCCGCCATGACCAAAATTGCTTATCTGACGGAAAAGCTTGAAAATCAACTGGCGAAAAACGACGGACACTTTCTCAAAGGACAAGTAAGATATATATTTAAAGAAATAAATATGTGATTTAATAAGATTATTTAAAAATTGCAGCTTTCGTGGGCAGATTTTTACTTTGCGGCGATTTACAATACATTCAACTACAGAGCCGACGAATACATTTTCGCCAACAGGCCCAAGTTGAAGGCGTTGAAGGAAAAAATCGACACCCTCCCTGCTATCAGAGCTTACTTGGAAAAACGTCCTTCTGTACCATTTTGACTTTCTAATTGAAATTTACTAATAAAAGGTCAAATCCTTTTAGTTCTTGATAAAATAATTGTGATTTTCAAAAAATTCCTTACTTGAATAAAAATATAATGATTGATATAATTAAATCCGTTCTTTCAAAAATAATTGTGTATTGCATTTAATAAAATAGAAAACATGATTTTTTTAAATTATTTAGTATAAAAACAATATAAATGTGCATACTCCCTTTTTGCAGTAAATAAAATAATTCAAACCGATGAGCAAACAGAGACAGATTGATTTCAGCTCTTGTAAGAACGCGACAATCGGTTCTTCAAACCTTCATCAGACGCTGAAACTTTTTAAATATACATTTTTTTTTTAGCATATTGGAATAAATATAATTTAATACTTTACAGAAAATATTTTAATAAAGTAAAAAACGGCCTAGAATAGAATATATTTTTGTGCGGACTTTGACCCTTTCGTTAATTCTCAGCTCTAATCCAAGGTCAACATTTGTGACATTTAAGGTTATAGACCATGGTCGCGTATCTTATCTATTTTAGGCTCCTTAAATATGCAGAATTTATTTTTTGAACAGGCAAAATTTATTTGATAGGAGCCCTCGGAGGCCTTATCAAAAATGCAGATGTGAATAAATAGCTGGCCAAAGACACTCTCGGTACATTATTGTTTCAAACCTCACCGATATGTCCAAGACGAAGCTGACGTACTTTGGGGTGACGGGCCGAGCCGAGCCAATTCGCTACATGCTCGCCTACGCGGGGGTTGATTTTGAAGATGTTACAGTTCATAGAGCGGATTTGCTCAAGATTAAGCACGGTATGACTTTCTTTCTTTTATAGCAAACTGATTATTGAAAAAATTACGAACAAGATAATTGAAGCAATATTTTATATCACTTACAATTCTGTTAATTAATTTTTTTATCTATTGACATACTTGATCACTCAAGAGAATGTAGAATTAAAGGATTGAATTTTTAAGCATAAATTTAATTATTACCATTTTAGACTTGCCTTTGGGCGAGGTGCCTGTTTTGGAGTTTGAGGGCAAAACTCTTTACCAATCACAGGCCATTTATCGCTTCTTGGCGAAGCGTTTCAATCTGGAAGGAAATGACGAGTGGGACGCTTATTGGTGTGATGTTGCCGTCCAAACAATTGTGGACGTCGGTTTAGGTTCGTTACATTCTTTGTGTTTATTCAAAATATGATTTCATAAAATTTTATTAATAATTGATTTTTTTATTATAATAGCTTTTCGTCGCGACAGAGGTTGGGAGAAAACGGAAAAAGAGAAAAGTGAAACTGGGGCGATTGCCGAACACGCATCCGCTTTGGCTAAAGCTGCTTATTTCGTTGACAAACTGGAAAGCCAATTGGAAAAAAATGATGGACACTTTCTCAAAGGAAAAGTAATGGAATTTCAATAATTTTTATTGAGCGATTTAAAAAAAAATCTTTCTTTAGCTTTCCTATGCCGATTTTTATTTGGCGGGGTCCATAAGTATTTTGAACTTCCAAGCTGGCGAAAACATTTTTGCCAACAAGCCCAGGCTGAATGCTCTGAAGGAAAAAATCGAAAACCTTCCTGCTATCAGAGCATACTTGGAAAAACGTCCTGCTGTGAAATATTAACTTTCTAATAAATAAAAATAAGGAGGCCAATAATTTAAAATTTGTGCACAAACACAGGTCTTGTCATTAATAAATTAAATAAATTGCTAAATTAAAAATATAAATACAATTGCGATATTTATATTGAAGTTTATTTTGATGAAAATATATTGTCTTAACGCTGAATTACTCATAGAATATTATGAAGCGATCTAAGAATTACATGAAATGTGATGCATTATATAATAATAATGTTTCTAGGTATTTGTTTGTTTCTCTGTTGGTTTTTAAATGCAAAAAAAAAAAAAAACTGGGAAATCTTAGTCTGTTATCTCAACACAGCTTCCTCATTGCTATCTAACTTCTAACAACTTGGTAAAACATTTAAAATAAGTTTAAGAAAGGAAATATTTTAAATATCAAAAATTTTATAATTTTTTGAAAACTAGTTAATTTTTTAATATCATATTTTAAATTTTCACAATATTATTATTTAATAAAATTGATATCATTTAATTTGTAATATAACGCAAGACAAACCAAAGGTCTCTAAACTTTTTAATATAAAATATAAAACATGTGTGTGAAATTGATTGTGAAACTTTACCTGTAACATCAATTTATGGAAAAAAAAAAAATCAAAGTTAATGATTTGAACCGATTTGAAGTTGATTGAATTATGTAGTTATTTGAAAGTATTTCCTTTTTAATTGTGTATATGTCACCTTGTTAATGTAGCCTGAAAAATATTTTTTGACACGCAAATAATTTTAAAGATTGAGTATATAAAGTATAAATATTTTTGTAGTTATTATATACATAGACGTATATAATGCAAAAACAAATTAGAGTTTTGTTGTAATGAAGGGAAAAATAAATATGTACGTTAAATTAAATTATGTGAATTTTAATTTATAATACCAACTCATTTGCGCCTTTGGTCAACAAGATTTGGCACTTTTAAATTATAAGTACATGTTACAACTGTTTAAATACATTTTGGGTAAATATACTCAAATGCTGCCATCAGTATGTAACAATAAAATTAATTTAAAAATGATAGTGATAGCAAACTTAAATTTACATTTTTAAGAGCTTATTTTGACGTCCTTAAAAATATTAAGAATATGGTCGAGAGCGGACATCGACCCTTTCAGTAATTCACAGTTCTAGTCAACATTGGGTGACATTTAAGGTTATGGACCACGGTTACGTATCTTATCTATTTTAAGCTCTTTAAATATGCAGAATTTCACTCTTCGAACAGGCAAAATTCACTTTCTATGGCCTTATCAATAGTGGTGAACTGAATAAATAGCTGGCCAAAAAATCCACGCACGGCACAGTGATTCAAACCACCAATATGTCCAAGACGAAGCTGACGTACTTTGGGGTGACGGGCCGAGCCGAGCCAATTCGCTACATGCTCGCCTACGCGGGGGTTGAATTTGAAGATTATAGAATTTCGTCAATGCAGGAGTTGCGCAAGCAAGGTGTGTGACACGACATTTCTGTCTTTTATAGCAGACAGCATTTATAACATAAAATAAAAATAAATAAATAAAAAAAACAACACTGACAAATTAAATAATATTTGGTGCAATATTATAATTTTCCAATTAATTTTTTAACTGTAAATGATGCTGAAGTTTGAATCAATGCTTTATGCTATTAACTACGATATATACACATGTTTCTGAACATTTCAAGCAAATGACAGCAGACTTAAAAGATTGAAAATGTATGCACTTTTCACCGTTATTCCGTATTATTATTCCAGACTTGCCTTTGGGCCAGTTGCCTATTTTGGAGTTTGAAGGCAAAACTCTTTACCAATCAAAGTCAATTTGTCGCTTCTTGGCGAAGCGTTTCAACTTGGAAGGAAAGGACGAGTGGGAGGTTTATTGGTGTGATGTTGCATTCGAGACTGTTATAGACATAAGTGCTGGTACTTATGTGTTTATTCAATCTCCATTGGAAATTATTTCTAACTTTTTGTTTAATTAATAGCTTTCCGTCGCGACAGAAGTTGGGAGAAAACGGAAAAAGAAAAGCCTGATGCAAGGGCGATTGCCGAACATGCGTCCGCCTTGGCTAAAGCTGCTTATTTCGTTGACAAACTGGAAAGCCAATTGGAAAAAAATGACGGACACTTTCTCAAAGGAAAAGTAATGGGACTTCAATACTTTATATTGAGCGACCTTAAACAATTCTTTCTTTAGCTTTCCTATGCCGATTTTTATTTGGCGGGGTCCATAAGTATTTTGAACTACCAAGCAGGCGAAAACATTTTTGCCAATAAGCCCAGGCTGAATGCTCTGAAGGAAAAAATTGAAAACCTTCCTGCTATCCGAGCATACTTGGAAAAACGTCCTGCTGTGCCCTATTGACTTTCTAATCAAAAGAAATAAAGCGTTTCAATTATTTATAATCTGTCCAGAAATGCAGTTCTCATTATTAATAAATTCCTAAATTGAAGAAATATAACAAGAGCGACACTCAAAATTGAGTTTATTTTCAAATACACAAATTTTGTCAACGTTGTAGTGTCATATAATTTATTAACACTCTAAAATTCGTATTTTTTTTTGTCAATAATGCGATACAAAAAATGAGAAAACTTTGTCTGTGTTATCAACACTGCTTTTTAATTGCTATCGAACATACTAGAAATGTAAATTTATAAAATATTAAATAAAATTTTTTAGACTTAATAAGTTATATAAAAAGTATTAAAAAATTAAGCATTTATAAATGTTACGATATACATTTTATTGTTAATAAAAGTTAATACAGATTTTTTTAACTTTGATGCTTTAAATTGGTTTGCTTTATCATAAGACAAATCAAATCAAAGCGGTTGATTTTTTTTGGTTATTTTTTAGTATTTTTAAAATAAAACGTGAAGAGTTGTCCGAATTGGACACAGAACATATTGTAATTTTTGTTAATGTGGCCAACGCTTATTTTTTTACAAAAAAATTGTAAAACTGGATTGAGGATGCAACATTACTATTTTATAGACGTCATTACAAACACAGACCATTATATTCAAAATAAATTAGAGTTTTTGGTGATGAAAAGAAAAATAAATAATATATAGTAATTAAATTTAATCATAATTTAATTTACAATACCAACGCATTTGCGTCTTTGGTCATTAAAATTTGCCTGTTATACTAATTTGCAGAAACTCAAATTTCAAGCCGACGGACAACCACAGATGGTTTCATTTGAGTTGTAGTAACTTCTAGTCAACGACGTTAACCAGCTCTTAAAATTATAAGGATGTGAATGCTTCAAATGAACTGTTATGATACATTTTTTGAAAAATACTCAAATGGTGCCATCAGTAAGTAAATATAAATTTAATATAAAAATGTATTCGGAATATGGTTGAGAGCGGACATCGACCTTTTCAAAAGTACTTAGCTCTAGTCTCAGGTCAACATTGCGTGACACTAGAGGTTAAAGACCATGGTTTCGTATCTTATCTATTTTAGGCTGTTTAAATATGCAGGAATTTTTTTTTGCACAGGCAAAATTTATTCGCCACCTTATCAATAGTGGAGCGTAGCGGAGAAACGAATAAATAGCTGGCCAAAAACACTCTCGGCACAGAGATTCAAACAAACCAAAAATATGTCCAAGACGAAGCTGACCTATTTAAATTTCACGGGCCGAGCCGAGCCGATACGCTACATGCTCCTCCATGCGGGGGTTGAATTTGAAGATTGCAGACTTTCGCGAGAGGAGTTCTTCAACAATAAGCAAAGTATGTATGGCACTCGATTTCTATCTTTTATAGCAAAACAAATTACTTTAAAAATACTTGATACTTCAAAGGCAATAAATTATAAAATAAAATAAAAATTATGATAATTTATTTTTTAAGAAAATATTTTGGATTTTTAGGAAAGGCCATAGCATATTATTTAAATTACATTTCACTCAAATGAAATTAAAGAGGTTTGAAAATGTTCGCACCATTTTAGATTTCCCTTTGGGCCAGGTGCCTATTTTGGAGTTTGAAGGCAAAACTCTTTACCAATCACACGCCATTTATCGCTTCTTGGCAAAGCGTTTCAACTTGGAAGGAAAGGACGAGTGGGACGCTTATTGGTGTGATGTTGCATTCCAAACCATTTTAGACGTCGGTTATGGTATTTTCAGTGTTTCTTAAAACTCTATTGTTTTTCCAATTATTAATATTTAATTTTTATTAAAATAGCTTTCCATCACGACAGAGGTTGGGAGAGAGAGGAAAAATCTGAAGCTGTAATGGCCAGACATGCATCCGACTTGACTAAAGCTGCCTATTTACTTGATAAACTTGAAAGCCAACTGGAAAAAAATGACGGACACTTTCTCAAAGGACAAGTGAGAAATTTCAATGGAAATTGAGCGACTTTAAAATTTCCTCCTCTAGCTTTCTTATGCCGATTTTTACTTGGCGGCGAACTTCAATACTTTAAATTACAAAGCCGGTGAAAATATTTTTGTCAACAAGCCCAGGCTGAATGCTCTGAAGGAAAAAATCGACAACCTGCCTGCGATCAGAGCGTACTTAGACAAATGTCCTCCAGTTCGATTTTGATATAGAAGAATTTTGGAATAAAAACTAAAAGCATAATTATGCATGAATACTAAATAGTTTGTGCTCAAGCCGCTAATTGAGGTTTTTTATTTTCAATTAATCTAAATAATGAATTTAATAATAAAGACGCAGCAGAGTGGCTTTTAATAAAAAAAATAATAATAATAATAATCACAAATATCAGCAATAGTAAAATTAATTATTTTTCTTAATTCTGATTAATTAATTCATAATTATATTAAAATATTATTAGATTTACAATTATAAAAGGTGCTAAAATTTACAAACAAAATATGTGTGACATAAAATCAAAACACTATATATATTTATTGCATTGACATTTGCTTTTAAGATACCGATGTGAGTTATATTGGTATATTATACAGTCGTTTGAACTTAAATTGAGTAAAATTTGTCTTTGAATTTAAAAAGACCAATATTTTTGTATCAATGACTCCACGTCATAAGGACAACAAGGGCTCCAAGGACGGAGAGCAGAGAAAATTGAAGGTTGTAAGAGCTGTTGCAGTAGTGCTTGTGTTTGCACAGGTCGCACTGCACCAGCTTGGCCCCAGCTTCGCCCAAGACCCCCTCAATGTGCTTGCAAGAGTAGTGACCGTTGAAGAAACACCCTCGGAAAGTCACTTGCTTTTGAATGTCTGGAATAGAAGGAATTACTAATAACGCTTAAAAATATATAATTACGAAATTTTAAAGAGGATTATCTTAAAATCAGTTAAAACGTAAAGTTAAAAAAGTGCATGAAAGGGAAGAATAAAATTTAAAAATTGCATTGCATTTTACTTGGAAAAAACAAAAGCGAATGAGCGCTTATCACATTTTGTTATCGGTAGAATGACAGTGACAAGTTAGTTACAACATAAATGGAGAGCGGTGCTGTGAATGCCAAAAGCAATTAGTGTTGCGTTAATAGGCGCGTAAAATGTAACATATGAGAACATTTGTGAGAAATAATTCATAACGTAATTTTTTAATGCGCGTTGATCTCAGAAATTGAATTTTATACTTGATGTGAAAAAGCACTTTTAATCTTTAATTAATACTGTATTAAAGACAAATTTACTGTGTTTTATAGCTAAATATAGAGTAAAAAAACCTACTTGGACTGCTGGCTGTGAACTTGACGCATCTCTCGTCTGCAATTGGGCTGGAGCCGAGCGGAGCCACTCTTTCCTCATGGAAACCAGGGTACAGTAATTTTTGAACAGAGTTCATTGTCTCTTGCGTCGACATGCTGCAGTTCATCATGCTCTTTGTGTACTTGCCCTCGTCAAAGCCCTCGTACGGGCAGTGTGGGTTGTCATTAGAATTGCAGGTGAAGCAGTCCAACGTATTGCCTGCGTGAGATTTATTAAAATCGAAAAATGTTCACACAAAAATTTCAACAACAAAAAGTATAGTTTACCTCTGTGGGCTACGAAAAGTAAAAGAACGAGAACGGTGGAGGAAAATACACTCGTCATTTTTGATGGTTTGTTCGTTACAAGGTGAGAAATGAGACTGTAGCGGAAGTGGCGAGTGGTGCTTTATATAGGCGCAGAGGTGGACGGATATTGTGGAAAATTTCTTAGTAAACTCATAAACTCTGCGTCTTGCAGGAAAAGGCCGACGGAAACCACAGTGATAATGTGTCATGACAATATGTGTTTTGGGCAGTTCGTAAATATTATTTGACACTGAAACTTTCACAAAATCCAACTAGTCAAATATTTGTAATATTTTAAATAATCAAATAAAGCAGTTAAAAAATTCCATATTTTATTTAATAATAAAAAAAAATACAAATTATAATAAATTAATTTGCGCTTTTTGTACACCAAGCGCGTTGAGTACATTTTTCAAGAAAATTTCTCACGCACCCTCAATCATTCTTTGTGCAGCAGAGTACAGAACAAAATTAAAATCCAAATAATTTGGCAGTCTAAAGTTCAATAAATCTTGTGACGCGACCAAGATCACTTCTTCTTGTTTTGCGCGGGGCAGTCGCACTTGCTGGGGAACTTGAATGTGCGCACCGAAGGGCAGTCGTTGGGGCGGTCGGGGTCCCACGCGACCAGGCTCTTGGTCTCGTAATACTGTTTGCAGCCGCAGTCGCCGCCCTCGCTGGCGCACACGTCCACGTCGACCCGCTGGTGCAGACCCTTTGACGCCTGCTGCACCACCACCAGCCACTGACCCTTTGAGTCGCGGGCGTAGCCGGGCTCGACGGTGGCCACGGTTGACGAGCAGGCCTCGGTGGTCCAGGCGTACTGCGCCGCGGGTTCAACGTCCCTCTTGGAAACTTTGTGTTCTCCGGAGGACTGCTCGAAAAGTCCATCGGTCTCGTCCTTGCACTGCTTCATCACGGTCTTTACTTGCTGACTGAAAATTTAATAAATTCAAAATAAGATTTTCAAATAAATTACAATAATTAAAAAAAAATTCTTTTGCCAGGATTATTAAAAAAAGAAAATATCTTACGTGGGGTAGCGAGGAGGAGAGGCGCAGTAACCAAAGTCCTCGGCGCCAGTGCAGTCTTCAGCTAGAATGTCCTTAAGGGTGGTTTTCTTAGCCTTGCTGGTACTGTTTCCAGGGGCAGTGACGTATTTTTTGTGTTTCTGGCTCGCAGCAAGATCCTGTTCATCTTCGTCTTGATCTGCAAATGCAAATTTTTATTTATATATTTCTTATTTATAAATTTCAGTAATTTTCACAAAATATTACTCGACACGAGGTTATTATTCATTAGAGCATTATTTTAATTTAATTTTAAATCTTTTTTAAAATTGTGCAATTAATTTTCAAACCTGGGAAATTAAGACTGTTGGGAAGAGGTTGGAACTGGGGAACGCCGCCAGAGACAGAGTGCGTTGACACAGCCGAGGGGATGCTTGACCTGATGGGGTAGGACGACTGCAGGGCGCTGGTTTTAAGGAAGGGATTGACGCCAGCAGCACCCAGAGGGTAAGCAGAGGCGCCCGCACCAGGGTACTGTTGCACGGGGAGGATTCCCTTGTAGAGCTGAGCGGCAGCGGCGAAGTTAGGGTTGTATTGAGAGAAGGCCGAGGGCAAGCCAAGCTGCGAAACAACTCCGGGCGCGGAAAGTCCCAAGCCAGCAGAGTTCAGTCTTTGGGGAAGAGCACTGAACTGAGGGATCGAAGCGGCAGGGGCGGACGAGAAGGAGAAGGGAAGTTTAGAGTCTTGTGCGCCGAAGTTAGCAGGAAGTTGGAATTGGGGCTGATTGCTTTGGAGCTGGAACTGAGGTTGGCTGTTCTGCAGATGGAACTGCGGCTGGCTGTTCTGCAACTGGAACTGTGGCTGGCTGTTCTGCAATTGGAACTGGGGTTGATTTGTTTGTTGAAATTGGAACTGTGGCTGATTATTCTGAGCCTGGAACTGGGGTTGAGTGTTCTGGAACTGGAAGTGCGTTGGTGGCGCCTGGTGAGACGGAATTTGAGAAGGAAGTTGAAGCTGGATGTGAGAGGGGATTTGAGGGACCTGAGGCGGCTGCTGAGGTTTGGGTTGGTGCACCTGAATTGTGGGGTAGTTCTGGTTGAAGATCTGAGGGTTCGTTTCCTGAGCGTATTGAGGAGATTCGGCAGGAAGGCGCTGGGCAGGTGCTACCACGGTCTTCACATCCTGATGGAAATGCTGCCCAAAGTTAGGAGGAGGGAAGTTGTCGAATTCTGGATTTTTTAAAGATGGTTGTTGCTGGACGAAATTTGGAACTGCAGGTTTTGGTCCTTCTTGGGGTGGCTGAGAAACTGGCTTAGGAGGGGGAGGAAGGGGTTGAGGTGCGTGATGAACCGGTCTCTGGCTTCTGACAGGCGGCCCGCTGAAAGGACCAATTACAGAGGCCTTCTGGATTTCAAAACTAGGTGCGGGCTTGGAGTGCACCACTTTTTTAGGAGGGGGAGGAGGAGGTCCACGGAAAATTGGTCCTGAGTGCTGAGGTGGTGACTGAGAAGGGAAGGGCACGACCCTCTTAGACTCAAATGATTGTGCCCTGAAAGGAACCTCTCCAACCACTCTTTTGCCAGAGTTGGAAAACTGAGGAGGAGGAGGCGCAGGGAATCCACTGAACTGCTCTTTCACGGGCTTCTGAGCGAACGAAGGGTTTTCGTGCTTAGGAGGAACTTTCCCGAAAGAAGCCTGTTGAGGAGGGTGTTTGGGGAATTTTTGAACAGGGACCTCTTTTTGAGGAAAGCCTTGGAAATTTGATGGCGGCTCTTTTGAAAAAGAAGGGACATTTTGAGGACTCTCAGGCTTTGGAGGAAAACCGGTCGGAGCGAACGTTGGCTTAGAAGGGAAGTTCTCGGTTTTTGGTGGACCAGCCGAAATCACTGAACCTTCAAAAGAAGGGAATTTATTGTTTCCAAAAGATGTTTGTTCAGGTTCAAAATTAATTTTGGCGCCAACGGGCTGGTTAAAACTAAATGAACCGAAGCTCTCGGAAGGCTTTTGCGATTGCACGGCAAACGATGGCTGCTGTTCTTGTTTTTGAACTGCGAACGATGGTCGCTCTTTGAAATTTCCCTGAACCACTTCTTGGTTGGAGTTTTGGTAAGAAAACGCGCTAGGGGTGCTTTGGACGTTGATGATCAAAGGCCTCTTGCTCTCGGCAGGCTGAATTTCAGGCACGCTTTCCGAAGCATGACCGACGGGAGCACTAATTGGGGTGAAGCCGTACTGGACCTCAGGGCCCTTTGACGGAGGTCCTTGAGCTCCTTTGGGTCGGTTTGCAAAGGCTGGTTTCTTTGGCGCAGCAGAGGGTGGCCCAAAACGAGGCCCAGATGCAGGTGGTCCAGATCCGGGGCGAGTCGAGTCAGACGGTGGCCGGCGCAGAATTTTTTGCTGTCTGTTGTTTTCAGAGTCGCAAGAAACGGCTGCGACCAGCAGCAGGGCTGTCAAAGCCGACACCTGGAAAGTGAAAATAAATCGCATGTTATAAATTATACTTCCACGCTTTCTGAACAACAATCATCTCTGCACACAATATGTCTGTATATAATTAAAAAAAAACCACTGATGCATTCCATTTGCTTTTTTATAAATTCCTTTTAATAGGTTTTTATTATTCGATCCTGTTACATTCCCTTATATTTACTTTCGCGTCAAGTTCATTCGCGAGACTGGTCATTCGAGTTGATTGGCCTGCTTTCGCCGGCTTAATAAGAAGTTTGCGCGGCATTTTGCATCTCTCGATCGGCTTCCTTGTATATCCTTATTCGTCTCTGTTAGTCGGCAAAAAATGGCAATAAACTTGTAATCGACGAGCAGAATAAAATAATGTCACACTGCAAGGCCGCGATCTACTTTTAAACGCTATGTGCGTGTGCGTGCGTGTGTGATAAAATTGTTAAATAATTACAAGAGTCGTCTCGCGAATTGTAGGTCATAAGCTGTTCGTTGGCCGGCTCCCAGCCTACCGGAGGAATTTGCTGCACCTTTTTTTAAATCATTTTTGCTCATTTTATTGTCCCTCCTTTCATTTTCTAATGAAAATAATTGCAAGCTCGTGACCACTCTACTCAGTAAAATATTATCATTTTTAAAAGAATGAATTCACTCGGTCGTGCCACAGCTGCTTTTTTTCAAAATTCTGTGTCAGTCGTTAAGGTTAAAGAGGATCGAGTATCCTTTCCTTTTTGCTTCTGTTTTCGCTCATTGAACTCTCCACACAAAACAACGGTTTCACCTGCAACCGCGAGTAGAAGCAGTTGTTTTGAGTAAGAAAGGTGATGAGTGAATCATGCATGCAACTATATAAAGAAAAAGAGCAGCAGCTGAATGAGATTGACGCGCTCGGTTGGTGCCTTTGACCCGGGAGCCGGAAAAAAACAAAGCGGCGTAACACGAACTGCCGATTAAAATAGAGCATAATGGAACAAACCGCCTTTGTTTCGTTCAATCTCCGAGCAATTTACGTCTAGGCATATGATTGAAGCATAACTTCGTCATCAATTAAGGAAATCGCATTGTGCAGCGAAAACGAACGGGAACTTTATATTGGTGTGGTTCCCACCGAAACCATTATATTACGGAGCTTGGATTAATGTTGCGTAAACGCGAGAGAAGAGCAACCATGTTTCTTGTTGAGGATGAGCGTGTTTGATTAAAAAGTGGGTATAATTTTGGCCGCGGGTGATTCTCGGCATATATCTTCACAGATGAGTGTCAAACTAGATCTATCCATAAAGAGGCAGGCAGGATCGCATTATTTTCCGGTATAAAATGATCTCGCAAAATGTATGTGGAACGGAAGCGAACGGAGAATCTTGAGAAAATTTTTATATACATAAAATAATACAGCGTATTAAAAAAAAATTTTGTTTCAATAACATAAAAAATTTAAGAAAAATTCAACAATAAATTTACTATCATCTTAATTAAATTCAATTTTTCTTAAATTTTATTTAAAAAAGAAATGTTTATTTTAGTCTTTATTTTCTGTAAATTAAATATAAAAAAGTACTATACTTTTATGTTATGTATTATTAAAATTAAACAATATTTAACAAACAAAAAAGTGTGCTTACCCTGATAATCATGGTGTTCGCGTGTGTGTCTCTAGATGCAGTCAATGTGAAATCTTGAAGCACCTATCTGTTCCTGCGCGGCATACGAGACTGAATGCGTGTGCGAGTGAGTGATGCTGCTTTTCAGACCAACATCTCCCATAAAGCAGGAGTAGAGAAAGCCTTTCTTTCTTTCTTCTCGTCAGGGGCCCCCACCTTTGCCTGCAATGTTCGGTTATATCAGCGCGCGGCTTGGCCTACTAACGAAAGGGCTCCTCTTGGCAGGTAGCGGCGAGCAGGTGCCGCATCCAGCTGACCTGGCCTTGATAATGAATAAATCGCCGCCTCACTATGCGTACATCTAGAACCGGCCGCGATGAATTTTAATCGCATTTTTTCTCGTTTCTAGTCGTGGATGAAGCGCCGGACGCGAGTAAGAAATGCAAGGTGGGTCCGATCGTATATATCAATATGGGAAAATCGCGAAATTTCATTCACGAGCACCGACTTGGTTCACTTTCTTGAGAGAATCACGGAATTTAAACGTCGTGTACTTTCAATAAATTAAGAAAGTTCCTTGATTGTTAAAAGATGAAATTTTGGATATTAAATTTTGCGCACAATTGGCTTTCAAAACTGCATTGACTTGGGAAAAAAAATTATTATTATTTATCACTAACATTGAAATGAAAATCTGAATACAAATTTACAAATGATTCTCAATTTCAATTTTATTCTCTACAACAAATTTAAATACGGGATAAAAAAAAATATGCAGCACTTTAGCAAAACATAATTCTGTAGGTGTATAAATTATTAAGCTTTGCAAGTTTTAGAGATCTATAAAAAATCAAATCACAACATGTATTCATTGATTTTTCAAAAATTTTCTATATTTTTATTTCAGAAAAAATATCTTAAAATCTTCTGTTTTCAAATCGCTTGGTTTTAAAATAAAATGGTCTTCTTCGGCGTAACACTGCCCCAGAATGGATCCATTCACGGCAACAGGGTCGCGTCTCTTTTGTATTGTGTGTTGTTATTATTTATTATTGCATCTCTTAGCCGCGGGCGACACTCACATAACTTTTCGCTGGAGTTCCGTTCTCGCGGCGGTCGTCTTATTATTATCGCAGCCGTGCTAATTGCATGGCCAATAATCGACGCGGCACAGCCTGGCCCAAAAAGTAAACAAATCTTCCTCTCGGTGCAAAATCTTAAGGCGCCGTTTTATTTTTAAATAAGAAAAAAAATTGGTCATGCATTTTGCCGAATTGTGCCACATTGCACTGCGCACAATAGACTTTTGTGAGGTGCAAGTCAGCAAGAAATGAGTAAGACTCTTTATTCAATCGGGAAAATTGCGGTGCTTTTTGAAAGCGAATTATTTTAATGCTCGTTGCCGGTCACTCACTCTTGTTTGTAGGCTGGATTAGAGAGTTTGTAGAGATTATTAAACTATTATTTCTCCTCTGCATCAGTTTGTTCGAATTTAGAGTTTATTAGACGCAGCAGCGGTCCGAGCGGCAATCGAGAGGTGCGCGAGTTTGACCTTTGCGGGAGAGGTCAAGCGGCACCAATTCTCGCGTTCAAAGTGTAGGAATTTAGGATTCGAGGGTAAATATTTGCATTGGATTCCTTCGATCAGAAAAGATACTTTAAAGATCAGAAACCTGTTTTTATATTTTTGTGTAACATTATGTGCCATCCCAAATAGTTCAAAAATAGATAGAAATATTTAATATATTCAAGAGGGGAAAACTTAATTGGTTTTTTACTGCAACCGTTTGAGAAAAAATTGGCTTAGATGACGTAGAATTCCTTGTCAAAATTTTAAATTGTAATTAAAAGTAACAAAATTCCAACTGTGAAAAAAAAATAAAAAAAAGACTTGAAATGGTACACAACATGTTTGTAGGAATTCGATTTTTCTTCTTCTAAATATCAAGTTGACAAAGAATTCCAATTTTTTTATATTTTTAAATGCCATGGTAATTAAATTCAAAGTAAGGGCCGTTATATTTTGCCTTTAACAAAATGATGACACTGATTTTATATTATTACAGGTCCCTCTATTTCTTAAATATCTATTTATACTGTACAAAAATGCAGTTTATTTATTCAAAAAGTGACCATGGAAAATTGATATATTGCAAAACATGCGTTTGGAGTCCAGAAATTTGAATAGGTTTTAAAATAGTAAAATCATAATTATATTTCATAAAATGAACTTTGGAGAAGAAAAATAATTTCTTTTGTCTCATTAAGGTTTACAACAAAATGCCATAATTTGAAACCGTCCGTTGCCATATTGATCTTTAATGGGAATTAATTAAAAAGTTAAAGAGACTTTTTCACCAATCTGCATTTACAATTAATGACTGTTTATTTGGCAACTGTTGTGTGTGTTATTTTTTAAAGGAAACCTCCAATGTCTCTGTGGTATCAGTTTTGGCCTTGCGTCACTGAAGTTTCATTTTGGTTTGCCCCAAAAGGAAGTAAAAAACTGCGCAAAAGTGATTCAACTTTTAAGGAAGTACTGCAATAGGCTTTTTGATAAGGATTTTCCCTGGACGTTTCGCGAAAAGAAGAAAGTTACAAGAGATGATTAGTGTATCACAATTTGATACATCAATTTTAAGAGAGTACAAAATAAATGAAAGCGCCGCGGTTACGCTCGGAAATCTAGGATGTGCACAACAGTGAATAATCGTCACTTTGTTATTTATGATGATAACGAGTAAATTCTTCGCCATACTTCGGAGAAATTATAATATTTTATTCGACGTGAAAAGTGGCCGGTCACTCTCATAATGTACGCTTTTACAAGTTTATATGCGCAGGAAGCGAGGCAGCTGTTAATTGTCCTGGAAATAAATTTATCCTACTTGGCACTGCTGCGGTGAGAGAAATGCTTTATTCAATCGCCGCGTGCGTGAACGCATTTCGATAAATGTATCAGCCGGTGAAATTAACTCAACGTGTGTACTTTGATTCACTGCTCAGGCTAACATGTTGTTTGTTCCGACAACTTTTTTCAACATCCTGGTCGCTACCAATAATGTTCTTATTAGCATAAATAAAATATGCAAATTTTATATATGGGTTAGTTTCTGCTGCGTGAGTTATAAATAGAGAAATCGCAAATCCTTATTTTAGAAATTTGAGGAAAAAATTGCCTCTTTAATGAATATAAATATATTATATGATATAATTTATAGTACAGTATAAACTGAATTTTAAATATCAAAATACCGTTTTATCTTCTTTTACCTAGAAATAAATTAAATCGAACTGTTAATTTTTAATCTTAACACTGATCAGTCTTTAAAATAAATGAAGACTTTAATTATGTTTACATTTTCCAAAAATAGACAATCTGTTATTTTGATATTTTTCATGTTTTTTTTTTTATAAATTAAAATACTCAACATATTCTATTTTTGTTTATCTTTTATTGAAGTTGATAAATTACTATCAATACATATAAACAACCACCAAATAAATTATTACAACCTAATAAACTCCGCAGTCCACAATTCACGACCATAGTTATACATATTTATTTAATGATTCCTTTTCGATTTCAGTCTCGCGCCAAAGTCCGCATCAGAATCTTCCAAAATCTCGTCGCTCTTCTGCTCCTCGGTTTCGTCGTCGTAGAACTCGGACGCGGCATCATCTTGATCGTGAGAGGCCGGCGCCGGTGCAAAGGAGTACCGGACTTCGGCGCCGCTGTCGTAGTCGATGTCGTTTTTCAATTTGCTGGCGCTTTGATCAAAGCCCTTGTACTTTTCGTACTGGTCCTGGAAGGCCTGCAGGAATCGCGAGTTCGTGTCGCCGTAGAAAGTGGTTGTGTTTTGCACCGCCGCCTGAAGTTGGGCCATCTGTGACTGCGGAGGACTCACTGAAAAAAATTCGAGTATATAAAATAAATTTTCAAATGGATTATTTTGAAAGATATTTTTACTCTCGCTCTTTAGAAGTAATTGGAAATTGAAACAAATTATTATTATTGTTTATTTTTCGTAAATAAAGTAAAGAGAGAGAAAATATAAAATGTATAGAAATGGCAGCAACTCTTGCAGACAATTAAACGAAAAGCCTAAAATTTGCTCCATATGCTGAGAAAATGATATCAGGCTATATAATAAATTCAAGCTATCTTTGAAAAAAGTCTTAATCTATTTATAACATAGTAATTTTAACCTACTTATTATAATTTTTCCAATAAAATTTAAATTTTGCTTTATTAAAACCTTTAATGGAATGTGGCACCGAGGCTTCGAATTGCTGCAGAATGAGACGATCCAACGGAGACCTTGAGACACTGGGATGAGAATTGGGATCTCTGGTCACCGGCACATGAGGTGCAGGTCTGCTTGGGTCAGGGTCCGGGGCGTAGTAGGGCAGACCAAAACTGTTCTTCGAAGGATCTTCGAAAACCTTTGAAATTAAAATTTTTTTGTATTATTTTGTATTTTATCTTTTTTCTTGTTGTATGCATTTTTATTTAGTAAATTTTTAACCTCATATCCATGGTCGACTGAGTTGAGAGGCACGACTGGGGTGGCCACGCTGGACACCAGAGCTGGAGGTGCGGAGACGTAGCCAGAGTTTGGTCCCAAATTGGGCGCCGGGATGGTGTGGATGGCGCCTTCGTTGCTCGTCACAATCGGCGCCACGTAATGGGCGGCCGGTCCGGCGGGCGGCGACGGGCTGAACTGCTTGACAGGAGCCACCTTTGGCCTAGACGGAGGAGCTACTTTGAAGGGTCGGTTCACCGAAGGCGCTCTTCCGAGGTGGACGGGCAGCGGACGGAACTTGGGAGGACCGTGAGGAGGTCGCGGCGGCAGACGAAGGGGCCGCTTCAGGTGCGAAGGTGGAGGGCCTCGAGGTCCGTAGTACCTGTAGTTAGGCGGAGGGACGTCCGCAGCAACGCAGGCCACGACAACCAAGAGGACAAACTGAAAAAAATCTTTTTATAATTATATGTTTTTCAATTAATATAAAGCTAAAAAAATCTTAATAATGAGCAAGTTTGCGCTTAAAAAGGCTTCAATTAAAAATTCATTAAATTTTTGGAAATAATTTTTTTTTATTAATTATCTTTCTTAAAATTGTTCTCTTTTTGAGTAAGCAAGGGGTTACTTTCATTTAAAATAATTCAGAAAATGTTTTACTTTACAATATATAATCAAATATTCTTGAGGATGACAATGGGTGCCAAAAACGGTTGCCAAATTTTTTTAGTTCCGTCGCCAACTCAAATGAAACACGCCTATTGTGTTTTCTCTTGTCGTCCGAGTCAATTTAAAAGGCAAAAACTAAAATGTATTGGTGAGCTTGCACGACTTTCATTGATCGGTTAGTAGCTTACTGGGGCAGTAGATCATCAGGCGAATACATAAAAAAAAGATCATTAATTTGATGGGTTTGGAGAGTTGACAGTTCTTTGCGAATTTCGGCAGTAAAAATGAGCGGAGAACAATGATTATTCTCAAGTCACCCGTTTTCTCTTTTAACTTTCAATTATTATTTCCTCCTTATCAATCACCACCTCCCGTATGTAGCAATTCATACTTGTACGTGTTTGAAATTATTTATTCAATTTTTCCGTACGCACTGCTATAAAAAATTTAGTTTGCATTCGAGACACGTTGTTCATTAGATTAATTATAACAGTGCATAATTTAGAAACAATGGGAAGCAACGGTAAAAGTTCATTGGCTTTTGATCGGATTGATACTTCATATTTAAAATTAAGTGTCTCAAATAATTCATCAATTCCGACTCGTGGAGCGAAATTTGAAAAATTGTTAACTCCCAAATAAAATTTTTACTGAAATTATAAATAATGGTTTACAAGAGGAATAAATTTTATAACGGTTTTTAATTTAATTTATGAAATTTGGAAGCTTCAAAAATTTAATTTTGCGATAGGCACTGAAAACTATATAATTAAAGAACATTACTTTTTACACTTTATATTTAAAAAGAAAATAAAAAAATTAAAAAATTCAATTGTCTGATCAATAACTAAACAGTGTTAGATGGTAAAAAAATTAAAATGTATCAATAAATTAAGTAAAAAGTGAGAGCATTGAACCGAGCGCCAATCGACTATCTATTCAATGACATTTTTTTATTGATTTTCCTTTTTTGAAAGATAGATTGTTACTCACCATTTGGCAGAGTTTTCTTACGACCTGAGTCATCTTGTCGGACCCTGGCACCACCTGAGAGCACGGCAGGTCACTGCCAAACCGACTAAACGCAACAAACGGCCGCGGCGAGGAGGAAGAAAGAAGAGGAGGTAGGCGGAGGAGCATACGAACAAAATCAGGTCACTAGACCTTCTTTTCCTCTCTTACTTTTTTAGTTTGATATATTGTGAGCCAGTCAACAAGTTAAATTCATTCTAAAAATTATTCTTATCAATAATGTTATTTGTAACTGCCTCTTCAGATTGCCCGAAAAGGACCAAGATTAATAAAAAATTTACTTTTTTGTGTGCGCTAAATTTTGATTTTTTCAATGACGCAGGTTAATTCTTTGAAAACTTGTCAATTTATCTTAAATTAAATTATGCCAGAAAAAAGATTATTATGAGTTTTGTATTTAAAGTTTCTTGAAATTTAAATAATATTACAAAATATCCGGTTTAAAATTCGCTCCACTTGCATAAAGGATAAATTGACAAATTTAAGTGAAGAGCAAAAAGGAACACAAGTTTTGCGGAAGTGGCACACGATTGACCGACAGACGTGCCGCCAAGAATGATTGCGTTTTAGACCGGTTTCTTGTTTCTGTACCTCATCGTACTCGGCCAGCAGAAAATTTTAAGTGCAACGTTTGAATAATTTTAAACAGAGTAAAGCCGGAATCGTTCCAGTCAACGAACATCAGGCTGAATTTTATATAAAGTTTTGAAGTTTGTCAAAATTTTATTGCCACAAAAATCAAAATCCGTGACATTTTTTTTTTATTAGAAATTCAGTCACCAGTTGATTGCCCATATTATTGCTTTCCTCAAAATAAAAATAAAAAGTAATACAGTTGTTGGCATAATATTGCTCACATTTGTGTACAAATGATTGATTTTATATGTTAAATTTTCGTAATTCTTTGAGATATATTTATCTCTGCAACAAAAAAATGTAGATCATAAATCATAATTTAAAAGCGTTCACTTTTACTATTTTTTATTCTTAAATTTTAATGCATAGTAATTGTTCACGCAATCATCAAAGCTGCTGTTCTTGGGTATGCTTGTTTGCTGATTGCTTATTTTACAGAAGAATAAATTCAATAAAATGATTAATGATTATTTATGCAACCTGCGTTTCTTTTAAGCTTTGAGAGTTGCATACATTTTTCCATCAATTTCTCATTGTTTGTTTCTATTCTATACCCTATAGCCACAGACGTAGGTGTTATGGATTTTGCGCTCATGCGCTCTTTAATCATGTTCACCCCACAGGCAAAGCAAACATCAGATAGAGAAGAAAAAGGAATCTGAGTAGACGCACGTAATACGCTTGCGATTCTCAGTGGCCGGTAAGATTGTTCTTTTAAAAAAATTATAATTTGCTAGCCTTTCCTCTGAAACTAAATTACTAAAAATTTTGACTAATAATTAAGTATAATAATCACTTTGACTATTTTAATTCTGGCATTAACAAGCAATCTTTTTTTTTTAATTATGTGACTACCCACACATAACATACTTGGCAATAATTCCAAGTTAATTCCAACCGAACCCCTTTGCAAAATTATTGGCTAAAATAAAAAAATTATAAAATAATATGTGTGATTTTTGCAGATCATGTCTTACCGTGGCCAAGACTTCATTCATCCACGCAGGTCTCGAAAGCGTTACAGCTTCTGCGATGCGCTGGAAGATACTGGTAATTAAATTTGTCCCCCATTGAATTAATTGATCAAGAATGCATTCTTCTTGAAAGTTCCTTGATGAAAATTTAATCTTCTTTATCAGTTAAATCTAAATGTAGTGCAACCCTAAAATTACCAAGCAAACTTTTTACTAACCAGTCCTTTAAAAATTTGTGAAATTCCTTTGTTGAAGCTTTTTTAATTCTTAGGATTTTACACATTTTCCGCATATTTGGTTTTTGCAGCTTTGGATATTCGGCATAGCCGAGGCAAATGGCTCAAGGACGAGCACATCAAGCAAGTGTCCAGGCACGAATGGCACGTGCTTTCAGCCACCAACCACCAAACTGTGTACACTGTGAAGAGGCTGATTGAAGATGACGACGATCAAATCGAGGAGCACAACTACAGGTGCGAGTACTGGGGCCACGAGGACACCTTCTATGCCAACGAGGGCTATTGCAGGAGCTGCGAAATCTGTTGCCACTTCTACGAGTGCGACTGTCCTGACGAGCACCCCATTTGCAAGCACATCCACAAGGTGCACATGTTCAACAACAAGGTAAATTAATGAAAACTGAAATTTCTAATTAAAAAAAAAAAAAAATTATTTGCAGGCTGTCAAAGAGCAGCAGCCACACGATTTGCAGAAGACAATCGAGACGGCACTGAATGACCTGAAGACCCTGAGGAGTTCAATCCGACTCACAGACGAGGGAGATTTCTGCGTCGAACTTCAAGCATTTAATCAGATGATTTTGGACAAGTACTTTGCTCAGTAGAAAAATCTGGCTTCTTTTTAAGTAATTTAATAGACTCTATCAATCGCAAATGTATTGAAGCCTTAATTGATTGACACAAAGTTAATAATTGCAACTTTTTGAATAACAAATAAGTCTATAAGTCTTATCGAGACTACATTGCTGCTTTTGTATGTAATTTAAAACAAAAAATTTAATTTATCTTTATAAAATAAGAATTGACAACTTTTAAAAATGTAAAAATATCAACTTTGAAAATTAAAACGAATAATGTGAATATAAAGCATTGTGAATGATTTTCAATCTATATAATCACTATGTTGATACATCCTACCTACTTTGCAATACATATAAATTTTTAATTATAATATTCTTCTTCAATAATTTTTTATTAAAAATTTTTGTAATTAATAATGTTTTGCAATCCAGTATAAAAATTAATGTAAAAATGATAAAAATAAAGCTAACTTTTAGTTGTGAAGATATATCAGCTTTATGTCTTGTCGATATATTGTACTCTTTGCCATGACTATACAATCATCTGATATTCTGATTGGTCATAATACTAGTATCAAAAATACAAAATATTTGAAAAATACTGTGCCAAATCCAATTCAAAACATGATCAAGCATGCCATTAACAAACAGATTAACGCAAAAAGAACAAGAACACGCTATTTGTTCTGACGATTTATACAATGGCATGTGTATGAATCATTTTTATATCAATGCTTAGAAAAATACAAAAAATAAAAAGAAAAAAAAGTTCCTTTAAGATTAATTGTAAGAGTTAAACAAAATTAAAGGAGACATCAATAAGGGAAAAAACTATATTTTTAGATAATTATGTATAATCTTTTTCATTAAAAAATCGTCAGATTTATTTCCTTCCTATTACTATATACTCTTAGAAAATTCCGTATCAGATGAAAAAGTAAAGATTTCACCATCAGTACTCTTATTGTCAGTACAACCCCCTCCCGCTTCCAGCCGCTTGAACATTGATCATCCAGCACATGAGTCATTTTTCAGCCGCAGTATGTTTTTGTTTACCCATCCAGGGTGCACGTGTTTTTTTTACTTATTGTGTGTGCATCGCGTGTGTTTATTCGCAATTAATTTTAAATCGTGGATTTATGATCGCGAGAAATGTGCGAAAGTGACAGAATATTGGGTGGACATTGACATTGCACTGCTGGAATTTGGCACAAGGTCGAATAAAATGGAATCTTTTCTTGTCGTCGCCTGGATGCTTTTCATCAAGAAAGAATGCAGTAGAGAATAAGGCGAATGAATCAGATCAGCATTCAGCAGCACAACATTAAAAAGGTAAGTTCTTCTTTGGAAAAATTTATTCTACGTGAAAATTTCTTGCATATTTCTACAACAAGATTTGGGAAAAAATCCCACGAAATAGTTTTAAATTTTAACAATTATTGTACATTAAAATTCCATTTTAGTAAAAATTAAAAAAAATAAATAAAAGGGAAGGAACAAAATACAACTGATTTATGTGCTTTTGTTTGCCTCTAAAAATTAATTAATCGATCGCTGTAAAAGTCAATCACCTAACATTTTTGCGACAAAAATGGTTTTCTTTTATCTTTATGGTTAAAACACAAATTTTTATAATTAAAAATTTGGAATCATTTAATGTATTATAAGAATTTTAAATTACATTTCTAGTAATTATATTTTGAAAAAATTTTCTTTTCGTTATAAATATGTGGATGGATCATTGAAAGCAATTTAAATAAAATAACACTATACCTTTTTTTTATCAAGATTAGGGGCAAGCTAAGCTTTAAAAATTACACACATAATTAATTTGAACAGTAAAAATTAAAGAAATAACTGTCAATTTTATTGAAATATATATAATGAGATGTTTTTTTTTTTAAATTATAAACAAATATTCTTAATAAGAGTTTTAAGAAATGTAAAAAATTACATAATTCTGCATTTAAGTTCATCAAATTTTAGTATAAAAGTGTGGCGGTCACAAACAGTTGAAAATTCTTAGTGCTTTTTGTAGTTAAACAAGTTTTTGTCCCACCTGCTGGGCAAGTCAGAAATTGTTGCTCCGTCCCAAATCGTTTCGAACAAAACTGGACAAAAGGCAGCTATGGTCCTGAACATTGTGTAGTAACAAGTGGGATAAATTCCTTGGTAATCAGTCGAGTACTTGAAGGACCTAAGTTTTTGGAAAATTTCTCCACTTTTGACCATATTGCTAACAAATTCACACTCTTTTTCCTTGATGTAAATTTCCTCAAAAACGATGGTTTTCAAGTTGGGTGCTTGGACGATTTGCTGCAGCAGGTTGGTTTGCAGGTCGGACGGTTCATTGGACGTCCATGCGTCGTTGACCAGCTCAAGGGTGAGCGACTCCAATTCCAAGTCCTTCCCTTGAACCATTTTGTTCGTAACAGGCCGGAGGACGTCGAAGCCACCTCTGGCGTGGGCGGACAAGTGCTTGAGGCGAGGACAGGTCAGCAGAACCAGGTTCAGGTCAAACAGGTCGCGGTTCACGTTTACTTCGAGTTTGGTCAGTTTTGAACCCACAATGTCGAGGCACTTCATAACTTCGGCAAAAGTTATTCCCTTCTCACTGGTCAGGTACAGTTCCTCCAGGGCAGGGAAGCGACGAAGGCGATCCGGGTCGGAGATTTCCGGTTCGTCGATCAGGACGGTTCGGACACAGGGAACTTCGCAGTTTTCGGGAAAGTCGAATCCTCCCTTCAATACCAACTGCTCGATTTTCAATTTGGTGCAGCCGGACAGAACGTGGTTTGCTCGAATGTCGCTGTCAGGTTTCTTCGGCTGAGGGAACAAGCCGACCGTCCTCAGGTGGGGCATCTCCTTCATGGTCCGGATGATGATTATTTGCGTCATGACGTAGCTGTAGGGCCTGGTGTGAAAGATGAAATGTTGAAGGTGCTCCAGTTTTGTTAGACTTTCGATGCCGAAGAAATCCTCGTTGTTCATATCGAGTGGAAGCAAACAAACATTCAGGTACCTGAAAATTTTGAACATTCTTTAATGCATTCGGAAAGAAGGCAAATTATTATTGCATCTCATTATAATAATGATGCTTTTAATATTGAAGAAAAATTAACAAAAAGTCGAAAGAAAAGTAAATTTTATTTAAACATCAATAATTTTCATAATAAATCAATTGAAAAATATAAAAATCATGCTTCAGAAAATTAAAAATAGTTTCATAAAATTCTAATTTATTTTAAAAATTGTAAAAAATTATCGAAAAGATCACATTTGTAACAAAATATTTTTTTAAGCCTTAATTGAACTTATTTTAATTACCTGAGCTGTTTCAAATTATCTGCTACAATGTCCAGCCTCATGTTGTCGAAGAGGATGTGAGGGAATTCGAGGTGCTCCAGATTTTTCATCTGAAGAACGCTGGCGAGGGCGTAGATAGGCTTCGGTTGAATCACCCTGTACCTGATTTTCTTCATATTGGGCGCCTCTTCGTACAGCTTTGTCCAAACTCTGTCCTCCAGTTCGTACAACTGGAGCCAGGTCATGTCCGACATATCCTTCAGACCACACGCCCTGAAGTCAAAGGAGGTGGTTTGTTTGTTGATGAGCAGGACAGCCAATTCGCCGGCGAGTTTCTTCTCGTCTATGGTTTTGATGAGTTCGTGCTCCGAGTCGAGGTGGCGGAGAAGCTTCTCTTTCAGTACCAAAGCTGGAGAATTATTATTTTGATCATTAAGCATATTTTTTTTTTATTATTATAATAAGTGCTTACGTAGGCTGCTGATTCTGTTTGTTTTCTTCTCATCAGGGTTAGTTGGATTGGTTTCGTAAGACTTGAAGGAATGCACCACCCTGCTGATGCACATGTCCTGCAGGGTGGGGAAGTTCTTTGCACTGGTGTGTCTCATCCAGGAGCCCTTAGAAGATTCTCTGCTAAATTATAAACAATTAATTTGGGTCAATTCTTGTGTTCAAAATTATATTCATGATTTGAAAATTGCTTAAATGTAAAAATTAAAACATTTATTAAATCTAAAACAGGGATTACTGGCAAAACATGTATTATTTGTTTACAAAATATCATAAAATTAAAAACAAAAATATGAATAAATATTGGTGATTCCAATTTTCTACTTTTTGAATTAAAAAATTGATAATTTTGCATACTGGTAAGCTGTGATTGTGCAGAGAAAATCATCATCCATGTCAGCTGCGTCGTTCTGGCTTCAGTCGAACCTAGAAAATCGTTTACAAAGTAGAAAAAATTTATTAATTCATTAATAAAAAAACGTTACTGGCCAAGCAGATATTTTAATAGCATGCAGGTTTAGAAATTTACCAAAAAAATATTTATTTTTTATTATAGATTATCATTATCAAGATAATTATTTCTAATTTTTTTAAATTTTATAAATTCAATATATAAAAATAATGATTCATCGATAATTTCAACAATTTATGTTTGAAAAAATCAAAATAAACAAACATTTTCCATCCTACTCAGTGATGTAAACAATAAGACAGGACACCTTTATTTTTTGTCCTTCTGCTGCTCAAAATTAAGCAATACTTCAAGATAAATATCCTATACTTTAATATAATGAGAATGCAAATTTGAAACACTTGCTTGGTGCAAATATTGTGGAATTAGAGCCAGAAAAAGACAAGTTGTTATTACCCAGATGATTTGCTGTGGCGCGAAAATCCGTCAGCCTGTTTTTCAGGCAGTCCAAAGTTGGTCCAAAGGAGAGGCGATGTTGCCTGTCGCGCTCGCTGCTCGATTGTGAACTTTTGTAGCTGCAAAAGTGCGGGAAGCAACCACGTGGTCTTTATGGAGACCCTCAGGGCTCAATTATAGGCCCAAATGTACAGCTTTGCCACGGCTGCCGCGAAAATGAAGACGATTCATTCATTGTTGGCCGAGTGATTCATATATTATGGCGTCGGCTTTACACGCGGCTTGAATTATAATTTAATTAATTTTAAATTACTGAACAAACTATTTCTGACGCAGTCTTCCTGACTTCCGACTTCCATTAAATTTGGTCATTAAATTTTTTTAAGCTTCCATCTTCTCCATTAAATTTCAATTATTTTAATTGTCTCTATGCACTTTATAAATTTATAAAAAACTCTTCAAAAGCTGGCAGTGAATTATCTATTTTCAAGGGGTATAAAATTTTAACTGTGGGCATAAATATGAAATATGCCAAATGCCATCATATTTTTAATTATCTATAGTTTTAAATTTATTTTTCGCCAACAATGTATATGCAAAAATACAAATTATATTATTTAATTATTACAAATTATCATATAATGTCATGTCACGTATTCTTGGTTCACAGCAATTAAGGGAGGACGTAGAAAGATTTTTAATTTATAAAATTATACTTCGGCTGGGGAATGATCAATAAAATATTTCCCACATTTTCTACTCTCCTGCTGTTATCTTCGTCATAATGTTAAACAATGTCAGCAAAAAGTCAGGAAACGTCAGGGTGACGCCGTCCAACGAGTCGTCCAGTGCTTGGGAAGTTTTATGATACAAATTTTTAAATTAAAGTTTTACTGCGTCAACATTTCCATTCGCTCCGCTCACCTTCCGCTGGCAATATTATTTAATAAAAACATCGAGAGCTGGTGATATATCATATATCATATTTTGACACAAAGGAAGTAGCGTAAATCAAAATGGTTTCGCCATAGGTTATAGACTGTATTCGCAATTGAATGTTGACTTGACATCGGATGACGAAGCACGCGAAAAATGCAGTTCTCCTCGACGTCAAAGATTTTATTGATTTTCATCTTATTGAAGGTGGGAGGTGTAAATTTTTTTAGAGATACTCATTTTACTTTATTAGACCGCGAGAAATGCTAATATATTATGAGAAAAATGCAAAAGCCTAACCTGGCCGCCATATTAAAATTGCATGACGTTTTAAGTTAGCATATTTGCCACGTTAGTCTTTTGGGTATGCTTAATTTTAATGATAATTTATTGATTTTCAATTAGATCTTGATGGTGGAAACTCTATCAAAAAATGTGGAAAAACTGGATCGAATGAAAAGTAATGATTGCATTTTTTTATAAAAAGAGTTTATTTTATTTTAATGACGTATTGCATAACTCTCGCAGGTTCCCGGGCAGAGAAAACAAAAAACGCAAGGCGTTACATAGTTAAATGCTGTGGAAAATATTCGTGCAGTGAGGGGAGGAAGCGAAATTCAACGCAAATAAACTCGCAAAATAATCTGGACAAGTCAAAATTAGGATCTGGTTCCGAAATGTACAATAGAAATTCAAACTCCAAAATTGACCAGGCAAGACTTCTGCTTTGTTAATTAATCTATCTAATACCGGATCACAAGGTGGGGAAAAGTGGCCAAAATAATGGAAATACCGCTGTTGGGGGTGGACAAATTATTTCAAATGAGGGTCAAGGGAATTCTCTTACCACAAGCAGCAATGACGCAATAGCTGCCGACCAAACAAGTTAAATACGTCAGATTATGAAAAGTCAACAAGTTTTATGAATATTTTATCAGATGTCCAGGGAATGTCGCAAAATGCAAACTCCGACGGAAGTATTGACCCAATTGCAGGTGCCACAATGGGGCTGAATTCTGGAGATGCTGGTTCATCCGGAACTAGCAATCCAAGTGACCCGTTGGCTCCTTTGCCAATTGGCGGTGCTGGCGGCTCGTTCGAAACAAGCACCTCTGACCCCAATATCGTTGGCTCTGATTTGAATGGATTAAATAATCCAAGTCTTCCATCTTTTGGAAACGGCTCAAAAAATCTCGCCACGACTAATGGGCCGGGTTTAAGTTCTCAGCAGAAAATTTCCCAGCAAACAACATCCCAGCAGAAAGTTGTTCAGCAAACATCACTTCCTTCAGCCCTGCAAACTAATTTGAGCACCAGAGCCCCTTCATCAGTTATTCCGAATTCAAATAATAGTTCAGGTTCCTCCACCTCCGTCGTTCCTTTAGCGAGTGGAATCAATGGAAGTACTGGAATAACCGGAGTGACCGTTTCGAAAGGAGGGACAGTAACAACTGTTAAGACAACCCAAGCGCAAGGGATGACCAATACGACCGTGAAGGTGTTGCCGGTCATTGGAATGAACCTGACCAATACGGTTACTTTAATTACGATTTGTATAATTATATACACTTCAATGCAAATTTAGACAGCGACCCAAAATTTGATCAAGTGCGCTAATTTCATCCAAGCCAACACTGATGTGAAATCCAAACATATTTTATAATAAACCTCCATTTATTTTTTTCAATAACAGTACGAAAGTTACTTGAACGCTGTCGAAGTAGCAAGTAAGCATGAATTGAATTATTTAATTATCCATTATTTCATAAAAATTAATAAGGGGCAAAAAATGAAACTTCGACAACCACAACTAAGGCGCCTGGCACTTTAATACCTGCTTGCGGAAGGGTGTATTTTTTTGGAAAAAATCCAGTACGATATAGCTAGGAAAAATAAAAAGGGTTTAATTATATTATTTTCCACCTGCAGTACAATGTTCTTCAGGCGTCAAAAGCCTGCATGAGTCGAGGTATGGCTTTGCTAGCTTTGGAGACTCTGGATGAAAAGAGTTGTCTGCTCTCGATTGCGTCAAGTAAATAAAAATTGAAATAATATTGAATTAAATTTTTTTTAATGTAGAAGTAATTACGATGGCTACTAAATATTGGACGACAATTTCAAATGAGGGGGTTGACCTAAGCACCTACTATCAGTGCTCTTCAAACTTTTCGCAATCTTTCCCCGATGAGTTCAGAAATATTGAGCATTGGGCTTCAACGTCTGTTAAAGATCCCAATCAACAAAGATGCCTCGGTTTTACATTTAACACCACTGTAAACGGCACACGTGGCTTTTTTCACGAGGACTGCAAATTAGGAACCATGCCGTATATTTGCGAAGTAAAAAAAATGTAAATATTCCATCGCAATTTATAAAACAAAATCACAGCCATTAGGTCAACAATCAACTTGCCCTACGCAGTGCAAAGCAAACGTATGAAATTTGAAACAAAAATACTCCCTGATTTTATTTTAAATACAAATTTCAGCCTGCTGTGTTTGAACCCGACGGAAAATTAAAAAGTAAAATTTAAAAAAATTTATTTTATTTAATTTTAAATTTTTTTTGCATTATAAGATGCCGCCAGCTATGGTTACTGGAATGAATCTTGTGGGAAAAAATACTTGTTTGGCAACAAATTGGTGTGTAAAAACAATTGAAAATAAATTAAAAAGTTGTTAATTCATAAATTCAGCTCAATTGGGATGAAAACTGGGACATGTGCTGTAGCTTAGGCATGCAGCCAGTCGCAATCGAGTCGGAAGAAGAGCAGAAATGCTTGAGCAATTTGACCGCGACCGACTGGAAGTACAACTTCAACTACTGGACCGGTGGCACTCAAAGGGGGTGCTTTGGACAGTGGCGGTGGTGCGGATCAGGCTCGTCCGTGATCAAAAGCGGAATTCGCTGGGCACCAGGCCAGCCTGACAATTTGAAAGGAAATCAGTCGTGTTTGCACATGCAGATTTCCAAAGATGTTACCCTTGGATTGGGAGTGACTGATAGAAATTGCACTGACAATTACGTTTTTGCTTGCCAGGTTTTATTAAAAACTAATTTTATTAAAAGTAAATAAAAATGCACTAAAAAATAGGGATCTCCTAAAATGGACCTTCCGTGCGATGAGCCCGAGTGTCCTAACGGCAAATGTACTCGGAATGTAATTTTGCAATAATATTGAAAATAATATTTTTGTATCACGAAAATAAAAATTTATATAGGCAACGCTTTTCAGCGGCAATAATCTTATAAGTCAGTGACACATGAAATATATTTTTTTGTGTGATTAAATTTACTAATTTTTCAGATTTTAATAATTATGGCATCTGGACATCTGGCTGCAATAGACACTTCTTGTTTTCAAAAGATAAGGTATAAATAAATCAAAATTGATAAAATTTACCCCTTTTTTCAATAAGTGGTAAGATGAATAAGCATTGGAAACTTTAACATTTTAAAAACCAAGTTAAAAATTCAAAATCAAATCAAATTTATTTTCAATGACGTAGGTTTCCTGGAAAAATGCCCGCGATAATTGTTGTCAAATTGGAATGACAGTCGTTTCCGTTGAGTCGATTTTCAAACATCAGTGCCTAGTAGAAGGCTTAGCAGGCAATTTTTTTTCCTTTACTAAAAATTCAATTTATATCTTATGTAAAAGAATACAACAAAACGTTCGGCTTCAAATACTGGACTTCTGGCACCGACACCCTGTGTCCTGGAAAGTACCATTGGTGCTCGAACGACTTTCCGTTCAGACAAGAGCAGGTGAACTGGGAAAGCGGAAGTCCGAAGGCCGCCGGAGGTTGCGTTTATATGATTCCGTCAGAGAGCGTCAACACGACTGTTTACGGCACCACCGATTGCGGTGATTTGATGCAATACGTTTGCGAAGTAAGAATAAAAGGATAGAAATATTTGAAAAGGGCATAAATTTCTGAAAAAAGGTCCGGGAGCAAGGCACAGCACCGACGTCGCTTGTTGAGGAGTGTGAAGCCATGCATAACCCGTCCTTTGGTATAGAATTATAAATTTTTTCTGTGGACTTTTTTTTAAACTTCATAATTTTTTTTTAATCAGGTGATGAAAAAGAAATTCCTAGTTTTCCAGCTAATTTTAGCTTTTCATCTCAAAACATAAAAGTATTAAATAAAAAAATATTAAAATTGGTAATTTTTAAGGGCAAATATCCTTTTTTTAATTAGTGCTTTACAAAATGTGTTGGTGAGCAGAAAAAATTAGTATGTATAAAAGAAGATAAAATGCTGCTGAAATTGTAATTCTATAATTTAAATCAAAAGTTCTTCAACAATGCAGTGAAACCTGTGCCCACTATTCGCCTGATCGAAACTGTCACGCAGAACAACATTGAAGAAATGCAAAGTGGATTTCAAACTTACAAAACTTGCACAAAACTTGGTGTGTCTTAATTTTTTTTTTTATTTGTCACTATTGTTAATTTTTTATGAAGTCCGTGAAAACGAGTGCGACACAGCGGCTGACATTTTCAGCTGCGGTTACGAAAATTCCGGGAGTTTGGTGTCCACAATGATGGACGTCGACAGGCTGAATACAACAATTGTATGTGGCAACTTAATTGGCCTTATCTTTTGTGTAAAAACTATTTCAGTACTACCCTCCTGTCCCATGCACCGTTCGAAGACGAAAGTGTTTAAATGTTGGTCTCACGTGCGACATTGATGTGAGGCAAACTTATTAAATTATTATTTAAATTTCAAAAAAAAAATGCGTTCAGACTGCTCGTCAAACTGACCTCATGACCAATAAGAAAAGTAAAAAATTGCAAACTTAAAATTTAAATAAAAAAATTAATTTTTTTTATTTTTGTCGCGTGAAGATGGCGTTGGAAAATTAATAAATTTGAAAACCAGCCTTCGAGATGTATTTTGGGCCAATCCAAACTACACAGCTGGAGCTGTGGTCAGTAAAAAGTGATGTTATGTTTGGCACAACAACATACTTGATAAAAATTAATAATTTCTAATTGTATTGAATTGAATTGGAAAACTAATATTTTTCAATCAAACATTCCAACTCATATTTTTCAGGGAAAAAAACATACCATATTTTAATTCTGGTACTTTCCAATTCCCTAAGGAAACTTTTAAAATTTTCTCCCTGACTTTTCCGGCTTCACCATTTTGAAACTTATTTTCCCAATAGGATTTTAAATATGCCTACCAGTACTGCTGCAGTCTTGGAATGGATCTGTGGCGGCCCAAGAATTTGGCAGAAATGCGTGAACTTACAGTTGCCGTCGGATGTAATTTCTAAATTAAAAATACATTGTTATCCCTTATAAAAAGAGCTAATCCGTTTGCAGTAACGGCGACATATTCAGTGATTGGATTTTCAAAGTACTTGAATGCAACCCACGAGGTTTGGTGCGATACAGGCACAGTGGTTGAAGTTCCAAACGTCACCCCGCCATACCCAGGCTACATTTGCCAAGACTCCGCTCTTGTTGGCGTTATCGCCATTTACGGAACTTCATCAATAGTAGTCAGACCTTTAGCATCCCCATTCAATACCTTCACATGTCAACCACGTTAAAGTTTTATCAAAATTTTGAAAACTTGTATTGCAAATTTTGACTATCAAAATAACAATTTTTTTTGTTGATTACGCTGAAGTGCAGAATAATTTGTTGTTTTAATGCAATGGATCTGTGTGCTGCTCACAAAAAAATGGTAGGAGGTTCCATAAAATTAAAAAAAGGTTACGCAGCGCTTCTGTTAATTTTAATTTTTCCTCTTCTCTCTGGTCGTGGTCACCGGTAATAACTCAATATAAATTTTAGATTTAAAAAAAGTACCATTTAATTGAACACAGTTTTTCATTGTAAAGGGATTAAAGGGTGATAAGTTTTGATTGTTTTTTCTTTACATGCAAAATAAATTTTCTCAAAATTACAAATTTTCTGTGTTACTAATTTTATGACTAACATATATTATAACAAATATTAAATCCACATTACAGCAATAAACCCCTGTTCGTCTGTTATTCTGAAAAAGTATGATCATTATTTTTGGTGAAACTTTCGAAATGTGCACAAGCGAAATTCTGATTTATTAAACTCTAAACGAGTCACAACTCACAGCAGCTCTCGCTTACAATTAGTTCGTCTCATCTCCCATCTCTCCTCATCATCAGGATTCTCTGCAAAACAAGTCGACACTCAACGTACACACGCTTTTGAAATGGTTAGTCTTGATTCAAATTTATGCTAATGAAGATGAGGCCAAATAAATAACAATCCATAATGTAACAAAAAAATAATTAGTATCAATTTGCAATCTCATCAAACAATTGATAAAAAAATTTTAAATCCTTTTTTAACGCAGCGAAATCTTAACGAAATTCATAAAGTGTAATCGTTGATTTGTTTTCATGAGACATTGCTAATATGATTCTATTAGAAAGATTTTTGTTCAATGAGATGAAAGAAAAGGTGCCAGTGTTTTAAGAAAGAAACATTTAACAGTTCTTCTTAAGCACTCGAAAGGAAAAAAATTTGGAATTTTTTAATTTTGTCAGTTTTGCCAAATTTCCAAATCAGCAAACGTGGCGTACGAATTGAACTCATTAAGGTGGGCAGGTATTAAATATAGAGGCCGATTTTTTTTGCGTTAAAAAACTAAAATTAACAAGCTTAAAAAATTTGGCTGTAAAATATTTCAATTTTGCAAATTCATGTTGATATGCAAGTATCCATATTTTTCAAAATATGAAGCTAAGTTTCTACAAAAGAAATTTACTTACAGCTCATGCATTAGTAACGTGTGCTAAAATGGATATTTATCTAAATTATAAAAAAATTGTATTGATAAAAATTGCATAACTTGTGGGTTCACCGCGTCGGCAGCGTCTCTCTTGATGTTGTTGATGATAAAAGGCAAGGGCAAACTAACACACTCATATAAGCTAAAAAAATTAGCAGTAAATTAAATTATTTTCTTTTTACAGTATGAATTAAGATCATGAAATGAGAAATTTCAAGTTATTGATTATCTTTTTTAACACAAAATAATGAAACTTTTGTAATACTGATGTATTATATCATTTGACACTCTTGATATACATGCAGCAAGGGTGGATGTAGAGAGAGAGAGAGAGCTTTTTGGTTTATAAAATTTAAATTCATCTAAGCAATGATTAATAGAAATATTTCCCACGCTTGAATACACCTGCTGTTATATTCTTCACAGTGTTAAAAAAATGTCAGCCAAAAGTCAGGAAACGTCAGGGTGATGCCAACTAGTCGTCAAACGGCAGGAAGTTTCCCAGTACAACTTTTAAATCATAGTTTTCCTGCATCAATATTTTCATTCGATCTCATCTTCCAGTTGCAAAATTATTTCATCAAAACAGTGATATACTATATCATATGATTCTATGTCACTTTTGAAAGAAAGGAAGTAACATAAATCAAAATGGTTTCGCTACTAGAGTGTGCATACTTACAATTGAATGTTGAGCCCTGATGGCGCCTCGTGAAAAAATCAGATCTGCTCCACGGCAAGAGGTTTTATTAATTTTCATCTTATTGAAGGTGGGAGGTTTCAATTGATTTAAGGAAAACCATTTTTGTACATTATTCCACTGTGAGAAATGACATATGAGAAAAATCAATTCAAAAGTCTACCCTGGCTCAGGTTTATTTTGTCCACTATCATAATTGCATGGCGATTGATTTAAGCCTCTGTGCCGCCAATTAAACATTTTGCGTCTCCCCATATTATGAATCATCAAACAAAATTGATTCACAAATTTTATTTATCTATCGACCTAGGTACACAATCTATACTGCAATCTATACAGAAATGTTACATGATCTTTTATTTTGGAAATGAAGAAAGTCAGGCTTTCCCTTGTTGTAAAAAATTGTTTTTATTCATTTACAACGCCGACTTTCTTCATTCAAAGTGATGTTTTTCTGTTTGAGTTGCACGCGCGTGCTAGATTTGTTTTGCTGCTTTCCTTATACATTTTATATACTGTTGTTTTTGCAAACGTCGTTGCACCAAATTTAAAACCGTAGAAAATTTTTAAGCAATATAAACAAAAAATTGGATCTTCCAAAATCCGCGTTGAAAAACAAAAATTCATGCTACTTATAGTTATTGTTGAATTGAATATTATTTTCATTTTAAGACAATTTTTTTTTGTAAAACTATAAATGCAACGCATGTTTATTAATCTTTTCTTGTTGAAATCCATGAATTTGCCGAAAATTTTATTAACAAAGATGCGTTAATCCCAAAACTTAACCTTTAGCCTTTTGATAACCTTTTTTCAGAGGAATTATTAAATATTTATTGAAAAGGCCATAATATTATTTTGATAATATCTGCGTTCTATAGGTTTGACACTAAACAACCAAATAATATGTTATCAGAAGCTTCTTAATAAATAATTTAACAATTTAAAGTATTAAATTATTACTCTCAGAGTCCAAGCAAATGCAATAAATTCTGAAGCCATTATTCAGCTATAAAGAGAAACGCAAAATTAATTTTCTTAGCTTTTCTCTTTTTCACGTTTAGCCTACTGCACCCCTCATATGTTGTGTGAATTAGCTGTAATACCCAACTGTGACTCTGGCCAGAAGATAAAAAAAAATTATCTATAACAAGCCTCATAATAATTAGCCAGATATTAAAGAAGTACAACTGTAGCATTTTTTTTTATCATCATGTTTATTTGTGCAGAAAAATCTGTACAGTCAGATTGATAACTAGGATAATTTATGGATAGTGGTATTACAAATTTAGTTTATTGCAAACCAAAATGATAATAAGAAGTTGCAAGTAAGGGGTTTGCATATGATTATACTGACTGATTATTTAATTGCTTAATAAATTATTAATGGGTAATTGTTCAGTAATTTCTATTGTGTAAATTATTATGATTAATTTGTAATTGTTTAAAACAATGTAAGTTGGCTTACACACGGGCTTTATTGTATTCACAACAATTCTGGCTGGATAGGGTAAATTCACTGGCTCGAAATTGTCCGTATAGTGTCACTTAAAAATCAACAAATGGGAGCGGTGTTCCCTGGGTAGGCCGGCAGGCTGCCCTGGAAACGTCCTTGCTGGGAACCCGGACGGCTCCCTGCAGGTCGGCGGCGGCTCTCGGCGCGGCCGGGGCCCACGGCGTGCGGGTCTCTGGCGGCGGACGTTCGGACGCCTTCGTCCGAGCGCTCGCTGGCGGCGTGCCACGTCGGCGCCCGATTCCTCGGACAGGAAGGAGCTGGCAAAACTGCTCCGTACGGCTTCGGACGGCTCGGCCACACCCCGGACAGTACGATGGACACAGGCGTGCCGCTCGAGGGGCTCGGGACGCGGTCGGCCTTCCGGCTGTCCTCGGACGAGACAGCGTCGGGACGAGACAGCGGTCGGGGCCTTGGGACGGCTCGGACGAGTGCGAAGGGTTCGGACGGGTGTCCGAAACTGCACTGGAAGTCCAGGTGTCCTCGGATTTCTCTGAGGTCTGTCAGCCTTCTGCATCGAGCCAGCGGACGGAGCGCCTTTTATAGCGCGGGTAGCAGCCCTGGGAGGGTCGTGCAAAACCCACCCACCCATTTGATTTACATTGAGAACTTTCTAGATGCATCTAGAAAGTTCTGTGAATCTGCAGTTGAATTCTAAAATGCCTTTATAAATTCCCTTGAAGTGAATTGGAATCCCATGAATTGTACAAGCTAATTCCAATTGAATTTATAATAATTATTTGTAAATTTAAAGCTACTTTAAATTTAAAATAAATGCAAGATTTATTTGTAAGAATTCAACTTAAAACAATTGCCAGAAATTAAAAAATAATAATTAAAAAGAAAGCCCTTAAAAAATGAATTTAATTGTAAGCCGAAAATTAATTGAATAATAATAATAAAAAAAAACAATGAAGTTCTCCGATGACACAGCCACAGTCAAAACAAACAAATTAAGAGAGGACTAAAATAATTATTCCACACCAAATCCCCCTCTTTTGACTGGCGGCTGTGGTCAGCTGTGACTGGATGATCTCCAGGACGATTGCCAGGACGACGTACTGCACGTAGACTGTCCAGATCCTGAGCTGGCGCTGTCCTCAAGGAAAAACGTCGTGGGCACCATAATCACGCGTGAATCCGGCCTTGTTGTTGTTGTTGTTGTTCGCATGCGGCGAGGGCGAGGTCTTAGTCCTTTGTGCGCTGATTTTTCCTTCTCCCTCTCCTGGCTTGATGGCGAACTTGGTTGTGGCGCCACTCTCATCTCTCTCCTGCTGATTTTTCTTCCCCCTCTTGTGAAAAGTTCATTGACTTTTTGGCCGCCACAGATAACAGCTGGCCCACGTTGTTTATTTGCCGCACTCGTTGTGGTTTTTTGTGTGGGAGTTTTAATGGCAAATTCGGCCTTATCTGTCGGTTGTCTGCGTTGTCGGCGGTGCCGTCGGCGAGTAAATGCATGCTGGGCGATGTGGTCGGCAGGTGGGGTAAGTTTTGGCTGTATTAACCGGCTCAATGCACTCAAGATTTTCTCTTCATTTGCAGAAATTTTGTCTTCGTAAACCTGATTGGACACTGTGCGACACGGCAAGCTCGCTTTAGAAGCCCTTTGTTGTCGTCGCTTGAACCGTCTTTTCCGTCGACGTTTCTCTTTACGAGTCGCAGAAGGGACGTGGTCGTTGCTGGCGGATGGTCGGTGGGTATGGACAATATCCTTTTGGTTTGACGGAGGTGAGAATGGACATGGAGGGTGAGAGGTGGAGTTGCTGGTAAATAAATTTTCTGAAAAAGTTGCACTATTTTCATTCACATTTTCTTCGTTCCCCCTCAGGTTAGAAGGTGCTTTGGATGAACTTGATTCTGTCTGTTCATGGAAATTTGACGGAAATGGTGGAAGCACTGCACCAGGTGGAATGGCTGGCAGCCATTGTTGGGAGGAAAACGGACTGGAGAGTGGAGGAACTGCCGATGAGTATTGCGGACTCGAAGCAGCGGGAAATGGCCCTGGCCAGCGTTGGTTCATTTGAGGGTGGCTTCTGAAGGCAGCAAGTGGAGGAAAATTTTGTTGTTGAGGGAAACAGTGTTGGTGAGTTTGCCTATTTTCCTGCTGGAAGTCTTCATTTAATCTATCTTTAATGTGTTTGGCAGTTTCTTCAACGAGAATGGCGATTTTGCGTGCCTCAAGAATTGATTTTGGCTGCCGGATGTACACCTGCCAATAAAAGTCGACTCGTAGGCCACGGATGAAAATGCGCAGAAACTCCTCTTCTCTGACCTCAAAGTTTTGTTTTAAACTTAATCCAACAATTAGTTGCTCCTGGTGCCACAATTTGTCTGCCAGCCCTCTCAATCGTAGGTAAAATTCCTCTGAACTTTCCCCCTCAAGCTGACAGGCTTTTACAAATTTTCTGTGCAATTGCAGGGTGCTTACTGGCGGCTCAAATTCGTCTTGAAAAACCTTCTGGAGTGAGGAGAAGTTGCTGATGGTGGCCTCGTCAAGATGCTTAACAAACTCCCTTGCTCGTCCAGAAGTGCGGAAAAGTAACAACCACCACACATCTTTTGGCTGCAGTTGTTGGTAGGTGAAAAATCCAGCAATGCTGATAAGAAAATCCTCCAGCAATATTTTGTCTCCAGAGAATACAGGGATTAATGTCAAGTCCAACTTGGGTTGAAAATATTGCCCATTTTGTGTCTGGTTGGACAATTGTGTAGTGTGTAGTGATGTTGCCCTGTTTTCTGTTTGTTTGTATAATCTGTCATAAAATATTTGCTGACCAGTTTTCCTTTCAGGTCCCTCTGTGAGTACGTCTGGTTTTGGCGCCTCGTCGTGATTGATGTGGGACACTGGGTGTTCAGGCAGCAGTTGGCCAACCTGTGATGCGCCGTCCAAGGGGAGGAGGTGCTCCTGAGGGTGCAGGACATCCACCTGAGTGTACTGCTGGTATTGGCAAGAAAGAAGTGTTTGTTGTTGTTGAAGTGGGAGGGAAATTTGTGCAATTGGGTCGTTGTCGTCCGACTTGTACAGCTGTAGAGTCTTTCCAGGGTCACACCCTCCAGGGTCACACCCCGTTGTTGTCTGCTCAGCAGCCAGGGGTCCAAAATGAATTTGATTTAAAAATAAAGGAGACAGTTGTTCTTTGTCTGCCATTGTATTTTAACAAAATAAAATTGTAAAAATTGTGTAAATTGTAATTTGTTTATTGTGTTTGTCAGTATAATCCCCAGGAGTGCCAGGATCGCCAATTGGTATTACAAATTTAGTTTATTGCAAACCAAAATGATAATAAGAAGTTGCAAGTAAGGGGTTTGCATATGATTATACTGACTGATTATTTAATTGCTTAATAAATTATTAATGGGTAATTGTTCAGTAATTTCTATTGTGTAAATTATTATGATTAATTTGTAATTGTTTAAAACAATGTAAGTTGGCTTACACACGGGCTTTATTGTATTCACAACAATTCTGGCTGGATAGGGTAAATTCACTGGCTCGAAATTGTCCGTATAGTGTCACTTAAAAATCAACAAATGGGAGCGGTGTTCCCTGGGTAGGCCGGCAGGCTGCCCTGGAAACGTCCTTGCTGGGAACCCGGACGGCTCCCTGCAGGTCGGCGGCGGCTCTCGGCGCGGCCGGGGCCCACGGCGTGCGGGTCTCTGGCGGCGGACGTTCGGACGCCTTCGTCCGAGCGCTCGCTGGCGGCGTGCCACGTCGGCGCCCGATTCCTCGGACAGGAAGGAGCTGGCAAAACTGCTCCGTACGGCTTCGGACGGCTCGGCCACACCCCGGACAGTACGATGGACACAGGCGTGCCGCTCGAGGGGCTCGGGACGCGGTCGGCCTTCCGGCTGTCCTCGGACGAGACAGCGTCGGGACGAGACAGCGGTCGGGGCCTTGGGACGGCTCGGACGAGTGCGAAGGGTTCGGACGGGTGTCCGAAACTGCACTGGAAGTCCAGGTGTCCTCGGATTTCTCTGAGGTCTGTCAGCCTTCTGCATCGAGCCAGCGGACGGAGCGCCTTTTATAGCGCGGGTAGCAGCCCTGGGAGGGTCGTGCAAAACCCACCCACCCATTTGATTTACATTGAGAACTTTCTAGATGCATCTAGAAAGTTCTGTGAATCTGCAGTTGAATTCTAAAATGCCTTTATAAATTCCCTTGAAGTGAATTGGAATCCCATGAATTGTACAAGCTAATTCCAATTGAATTTATAATAATTATTTGTAAATTTAAAGCTACTTTAAATTTAAAATAAATGCAAGATTTATTTGTAAGAATTCAACTTAAAACAATTGCCAGAAATTAAAAAATAATAATTAAAAAGAAAGCCCTTAAAAAATGAATTTAATTGTAAGCCGAAAATTAATTGAATAATAATAATAAAAAAAAACAATGAAGTTCTCCGATGACACAGCCACAGTCAAAACAAACAAATTAAGAGAGGACTAAAATAATTATTCCACACCAATAGGAAATAGGAAATTTCTTGACAGAAAAATCTGAAAAAAAATTGATGAAAGCAAAATATTGAATAGAAACAGAATATTATCTGATCAAACAAGGCAAGCTTCTAGCTGACTGCAATGTATATTAAATATTACTACTCAATTGCCTGACTAGCAATAATAAGTTGCCATTTAAATATTTGTGTCAGAATTATATCAGCCATTCTTGCACAGATCTTAAATTGCAGAAGGAACTTAATGTCTTCAGTCTATAACACAAGCTCAAGATATGATGCATCCCCTCTTATTGCTGCAATCATTGCATTTCATCGTCTTTGCATCCTGATGGCACAATTTTACAATAGGGTGCCCACAAGACCCATTTGCTCGAACCTGAAAAAAAAATAGAAAAAAATCTATAGATTTACTCTCATATGTTTACTTGGCGAAAATTATTATACCCTCTCGTGGCAAATAGAATACCGATGAATCTGTTCAAGATTGTAGATGTGGCAATTCATCTTGCACACGTGTCCACACTGCAGCAGTCGATCACAATGCCTTGGGCAAACTTTCTGCTCGCAGGCCACTTCAGCTGAGTGGAAGCAGCCAGGAAAAACCTTCTCGATGACAACAGGACAGGCAACTCTATTTCCAAGTGAACGCCTTTGTCCGCAGTCAATTGTTCCTTCGTGTTTTCCACAAGAGTAGGTCACTTTCACCTTTTCTTGGCAGCGAGAGGCACACCTTTCATAACATTTTAGAGTACATCGATGCAGGCCAGAAGCGCACAACTTGCGACAAGGTTCAAGGCATCGGTCATTGTGGTCACTATGGTCTTCTCCAGGGTGACAAACGGCTTTGCAAATGTGTCCGCAGTGCTGAAGACCACCACACTGACTTTTGCATTTTTCCTTTTTGCCACAAATTCCCTTAACTGCTGGATGGTGGCAGCCGGAAAACGTCTTAATGATCGTCTCGGTGCATATTTCATGAGCAACTAAGTGACTTTGGCCACAAATTACAGTTTTCTCGTGTCTCCCACAGTGAAGTGTTATTTCTCTCACTTCTTGGCAGTTAGAAGCACGCTCATAGCACGCCATACGAGACTCGTGAAGGCCAGCATCACACAGCTTGAAGCAAGGCTCTTGGCAGGTATAACTGGAGTGGTCACAATAAGGACTGTAGAGGGATTTGCATCTGTGGCCACATTCCATGGGTTTCATGCACAGTCTGTGGCAGTCTCCTTCAGGACAAATTGAATCAAAATCTTCAGGATTTTGCAGTGCAACCTGATTATCTGGGTGCTCCACACATCTAAAAAAATAAAATTTTTAGAAACTGAATGAATTTAGAAAAAAAAAAAATAGACAGACCTTAGAAGCAGGGACCGGCCCAGGGCACCCTGCTCTTCAAGAGAGTTTTTGATGCGTTTCCAATACGAGCTTTTAGATGAGAGGGTGCTCATATTCCCAATCATGACAAGAGCGTCCCTGGCTTTCGACAATGCTGCAATCACTCTGCTCTCTTCGTTCAAAAAGCCGATTTCTCCTTTGCTGTTGCTTCTCACTAATGACAAAATTATAATGCTACATTCGCCTCCTTGAAAGTCATCCACTGTCGCAACTTTGACCTCCGCCAATCCCTTCACGTACTTTGCTTTACCATTTCTGATGGCCTGTAAACAATTGCTGTAAATTTAAGCAAAGCATGATATATACATATGCATTTACCTTTTTCATTGCTTGAACCTGCTCATTGTAAACTGCCAAAATTGTAATTTCACTTGGTTCATAACCATTCTTCATCAACAAATAGTTGCTCAGTGCAATTGCATACTCCACCTCATGATCATTCTTCTTTCCAGGGTTTTTCTCGTTCTTTCTTACTTGACGATGTTCAGGATATTCTGGAAACTCGTGTGTAATGAAGGACACTCTTTTAGTCAAGACTTTTAATTCGGGCTTTTGCATGACACTTTTGTCATCTTTCAGGTTTTCGTAGAATAATGGCGAGATCAGCTTTGTCATTTCAGGGGGCATCCTGTACTGCACATCAAGAGTGCTATACTGCTCCTTCCTGTTCAGCACCATTCGCTCAAAAAGCGATGTTTCCAAATTCAAACTGCTTAGAGTTGAATTACTGACTTGTGGCCGGAGCTGCTTGTGGTCACCTTTCATTGAAAATTTTTATCAAACTTGCACCTTTTCTTTATAAAAAATGCACTTACCAATCATTATTAGATGCTGACAATTATTAGACAAGCAGGCAATCACATGAGCTTCAAAAACAGAAGCAGCTTCTTCAACAATCACTGAAATATTAATTTGAAAAAAAAAAAAAATAAGTGCCATTTTTAACATTATTTGGAATTTCAACATTATTAAAATATGTATTGAAATGAATTTATTCCTTGCGTTGAAATAAACCAATACCAGGAATTTGACAAAAATTTGGTTTCGCGTGAGATTATTTATAATCAAAAAAATTGCTCACCAACTTCACAACCAAGCTCATTAAGCTCCAATCTCATCTTGGCTGCACCAGTAGTTGTGAGACCAATTACGTCCTGATGAGCAAGTTGTTGGAGGCGCTGGTACCTTGATCCTTTCAATTTATTAAAGTTGAAATACTCCAACTCTTGACGTCTTGATTGTCCTCCAATGCGCACTAGTTTGCCAGTGATTTCAAGTGCTCCTACAAGGAGCTGATCAAGGGCACAATTTGTGTTGCTAATAACCAAAATCGGAGTTTTCCTGTTCATGGCCAGCTTGTTTTGTGTCAGTATTTCCACAATTTTCAGAGCAAGAAATGTTTTTCCTGTTCCCGGTGGACCATGGATGACAGCCAGCTCATTTGTTAGTGCATCCCCGAGTGCCGTATACTGGGAATCATCGAGGCCAAGCTCTTCTGCTGAAGGCCAAGCGCTTTCGTCCAAAACGTCAAATTGGTAATTTTTCTGCACTCCCTTCACAGTTATTGGCTTTGGATTTTTTTCATTTTCTCGCAAATACTGAGGCAAGTAATCCTCCTGTTCTACGCGAATGAAGTATTCTTGAAAGGGGAAATCATCAGTAATATTTTGCAAAGCTGTCAGCACCTTTGAATTTAAATTAATTAATCTCTATATAAAGTAAACTTCGTCATTAAATAGCTTACGTGGTAGTATGGCTCAAAATAAGCTTCACTCTCGAACATCATGTAATCACTCGAGTAGATATTCTCGTCTTCATAATCCTCACAGAACTTGACCTGGATTTTAGACTTGGAGGAACACTTTGGATCTCTGTAGCTGACAGTGGCAAACAGCAGAGTTTTGAAGGAGTTACGGGAGAAACAGAGCAACGATCCGAACATGAACATTTTGGAGTGCTCAAAATTGCCTAGAGAACGACGCCCTTTTTTATCTGGTTCAAAGCACAGTGTGGCAATTTTGCTCTGGCCTTCTTCCTGATTAGTGGGTCTCAAAAATTTCACCCTTTCATAGAATTTTAAACAGGCGGATGAATCGGTCTCAAAATTTCCTCTTTCACAGCATAATATTTTTATTTCCGCTAATCCTTTCCTCAGGGGCAACACGGCATCTTCTCTCAAGAGCCAGAATTGGGTTTCTAGATAATGGTCCAAGCTTTTGTAAGGTCCATCGATGATATTTGGTTGAACCTCATCCGTCATATTGGTGTCTAACACTTCCTGTGGGGTTGGATAAACACTCACAGTTCTGAAGTTCCTCGTTGGCGCCTGTTCGACAAAATAATGATTATTGGAAGCAAGAAAAAGCTGGACCCAAAACCAGAAAAGATTATTTTGCGTAAAAATGTCGCATTTATTCATGCAAATATAAATACATTAATAGTATAAAGCAAAAAAACACACCATAATTTTGAACAATCCAACCTCCGGGCCAAGTGCACGTTAAGAACTTAATTGTTTACTTGTAAAGCGCCAAATCCTTCTCTGAAAAACAAAAATAATAATAATAGTTCCCAGTTCCAGGATGTTTACCAGGCTTAATTATTTTTTCTTAAATTTTCTCACTAACTAAAATTCTTTCAGAATTATTTTCTCTGAACGAAAATACTTAAATTATTCAATAGTTTTTTTTGCTCCCCCTGCTGAAAATTTTGCACAATAATTTACAAATCCTCTTCGCTTTGTTGCGGCTTTTTTATCAAGTACTTCTAGAGATTGCTTATCGCTTATTGCATTTTTATCTTGCCACAGAAATCAATTAAAGTTCATATGCGAAGTATGGATTTAAAAAAATATATAATTTGGGGAAAAACCTAGCTAGCTCCATTGAATTTCTTCCATTTGATCCACTTTAAGCGATTAGTTATTTGAGGACTTAAAAGAATATATTCAAAAAATGAGCTATGATTGAATTGGAGTTCACTTCATTTCACGAAAATATGTATTATGAATAGATTTTCGTTCCCCATTTTCATGAATTATGAGTAAGTACGACTGAAGTTTATACAGTAAAAGTTATTTTATAATTATTTATACCACCTTTCTCTTTGAACTAGTATCAGTCTGAAATAAATTACAATATTGAAATACTGATTGTACACATACATTCTCGATTATTCATGACTATGCATTTTAAGATTTTTAAGGATTGTTAAAAAATTTAATGTATATGCGCAGGCTTTGAGTTTTCACAAACAGCCAACAGGGAGCAGAGAATTGTGCTGATTATGAGGAGCGACTTGTCTTTCACAGTCTGTCATAGACAAGGAATCTCTTTCATGCATTTTCCTCGTTAAATAAATTTTTTCCTCCGACTCGCATATCGACTCGCATAATATGTAAAGAACGTGTTGAGAAGCCAAATTCAAGCTATAAAAATAATAATTCCTTTGTGAATAATTTAATAGCATAAAATTGTTAATGCTATATACTGGCACGATTTTTTTTTTTAAAGATATGAATTCGAGAAGATGGCAAAGCTGTTCCAGAAAGTATATAATAAAAATCAATATGGAAAATGACAAACATTGTTTAGCAAAACATAATTATGATGTATCATGAATTGTTTTTATAAGAGGCAAAAACGAATCGTCGCGCTGCATTGAATTAGTGTGCGAACACATTACAAAAACAACTTTTCTTTTTTTCTAAAGATCATTCAGCGACTCGCACTGACTGGAGATTATGTTATGACAAATTCGCGCCTGAAGGTCATCATTTAGCGCTAAGCACACTTCATATTCACATACATGTACAAAGTTAACTTTGAAATAAGTCGAAAGCGATTTGAATAATCCAGTTTGTGGGGCTCACTAAATTGCAAAAAGCAAATACAAGTATAAAATTAAAAAGCCATATATTTAAGAAATTATCGACATTAAGTTTCGGAACGACACTTGATGCGTTTTGAGTTTCTTCATTTTTAGCGGAAATCTGCATGAAATTATTGAAAGGGCCATTAATTAAATTTATTGCCTCTCCTATAAATTTTGCTTAAAAATGTATTTCATTACTGCGTGCAAAACATTAAACTTACTCTCACAAATAAATGTCCTGCCATTAAGTTTACACATGATTGAAAAAATCGGAAAAAACTTCGAGACGGAGGATATGGTCGACTAGATTAAAATGAATCGCGGGTACAATTATTGTTTGCCAACGGCGCCGGTTAAATTGTGGGGAATAACCAATGTAGCGAGCTCCCTTCTCGAAACAGATCTTTCTTACGTGTTTATTGAAAACAAACTTGGATAAAAATAATACTTACATACCGATCGATTTTGGGAAGCTAAAGTGTGTAAATCAGACTGCAGCAATAATTTATGCTGTGTTGATATTCTTTTGTCGGAGTTGCTCCGTTCGCGTCGCTGACAAATTCGCACGGCTGAGCAACAGCAGCTCTGGGGATGTGCCGACTGCGGAGTTAGTAATAGACTAGTTAGTAAGTGAATATCAATGTATATTATGTAGTATGTACACTATATGTATGTAAACTCGCAAGCTGGTGCTGCTGGTGAGCTGGTGTGGGAAAGCAGCACACCAACAATCTATGGTGAGCACGCGCCACACACATATCTTTTTAGAGAGCACCAATGCGATTGAAAATGCAAAGGCTTTTTTTAACTAATTAAAAAAATTAAAAATATTACCATTAAATCATGTATGACTACCTGAAAAGTGTAGCTTATTCCCGGTATCCCTTACTAGCTCGTTTGTCGAAGGCCTCGGAACGTTTGCCTCTGGCTTGCAGATCAGTTTGTTTAGACTTGGTTAGGTTAATAATGGACCCGGCCCAGGCTAATGAGTCGGGGCAATGTTGCCAGCAGCGCCTCTCATCACTCTAGTCATACTGCCTTTTTGTTGGTTTTGCACTTGAATAAAACATTACACATATTAACATGTTTTTAATTTTTTCAACGCCGTTTTTTTAATATATATTTTTTTAAACAGCCTAAAATATTTTACCTTTTTCTAACCGCGGCTCCAACATTTTTTGTTTGTATGATCAATTATAGTAAACATAATTATAGCTAAAGTTCTTAAAAAATAATAAAATACAAAGAGTTCGTGCGTTACTTTTTGCTAAATATTTTTATGAAAAAAATTTAACAAAATTCAATAGAGGAGTCCCTAGCTTTTTTTATCCAAATAAAGTTATTTTTTAAATTGAATGGTAACACTCGAGGTGGATTTCATGAAAGATTGAAACCGGGCGAACCTCGTTGCAAAGAAAAAATATAAAGGACAACTGACCCCAAAGGCGACCTGCGGTCTGCTGGTACTTTAAATCCTAGGGTTTCTTGTGTCCAACTAAAACTTTTTCATTTTTTCTTTGCAACGAGGTTCGCCCGGTTTCAATCTTTCAAAGTTATTTTTTATACATGTGTTTAATTAATTTACCCATTTACCTTAAAACTCAACGGTTGGAAAAGTAAAGCGGCGTTTATATCAGAATGAATATAAAAATTTTATTAAGAAACGCCTGAATAATACTTATTGATATACATATAACATGTATTCTATACAGTCACAACTAAACGACAATTAATTTGGTATCAAAATTTTTTGAGTATCAAATTTTTATTTTAATCAGATTCCAAGCAAATTAAATAAATCAATTACGGTGACAGTAATTTTTTTGTTCAAGAATTAGACAAAAAAAATTCATTTTCTCTTTTATACCTTGTTAAGCCTACCTACGAGCACCTCATAACGAGCAGTGCAAATTGGCTACACACTTTAGCCTCTGATCAAAAAAGTATGAGTATTAACTTTAATCAGCCATCAGCCTCTTCATAATAATCAGTCAGTGTAATATACATCAATGAAAGAGAAGCAGTACAAGCAGCAACGGTTTAATATATGGATGTGTTTCATGACAGAAAAATTTTGAAAAAAAAGGAATCACCAAAAAATTAATTGAAATTAAGATTTTATTCAAACATATGGGGCAGAACACACATCGATCATTCATGCACAGATCTAAAATAACTCAAAATAGCAAGGAACAACGTTCTACACATATCTTCCTTAATTTGAAAATATATAGCTCAAGATATAATACTTTAATTTTGCTGCAATCGTTGCATTTCATTAACTTGTTGCATCCTGATAGCATAATTTGACAACACGGTGTCACATGACCCTTTAGTTTGCTTGAACCTAAAAATAAATAAAGAAAAATACATTTATGCAAAACACACATTTACTGGCAGATCATTTTACCTTCTCGTGACAAAGGAAATACCAACAAATCTGTTCAAGATTGTTGAAGGTTGCATTTCATCATGCACTCGTTAACACACTGCAGCAGCCAACCACATTGCTTTGGGCAAACTTTCTGCTCACAGGCCACTTCAGCAGAGTGGGAGCATCCAGGGAAAACCTTCTGGACGATAACAGGGCAAGCAACAATGTTTCCAAGTGAACTCCTTTTTCCACAGGCAATTGTTCCTTTGTGTTTTCTACAAGAGAAGGTCACTTCAACCTTTTCTTCGCAGTAGGAGTCACACCACTCAAAACATTTCAAAATACATCCATGCAGGCCCGACTTGCAAAACTTGCGACAGGGTTCGCGGCAAGAGTAGTAAGCACTATGGTCTTCATCGCCAGAGTGAGGAATGGCTTTGCAAATGTGTCCGCAGTTCTGCAGACCACCACACTGACTTTTATATCTTTCCTTTTCTCCAAAAATTCCCCATTCATCTGAATCGTTCCAGTCAGCTAAAGTCTTTGTGACGGGTGTAATGATCTTGCACATTTCACGGGCAAAAAACTGATTTTGGCTATTAAAATCCTTGCGTTTCTCACATTCCTGGCAGTTTGAAACACACTCATAGCATGCCATACTAGACTTGTGAAGGCCAGCATCACACAGCTTGAAGCAAGGCTCTTGGCAGGTATAACTGGAGTGGTCGCAATTTGGACGGTAGAGGGCCTTGCAAATGTGGCCACATTCCATGGGTCTCATGCACAGTCTGTGGCAGTCTCCTTCCGGACAAATTGAATCAAAATCTTCAGGATTTTGCAGTGCAACCTGATTATCTGGGTGCTCCACACATCTTAAATAATAGAATAATATATTATATTGAGAAATAATAAGAGACAGTTGAATTAATTAAGAAAATGGCAAACCTTAGCAGCAGTGACTGGCCCAGTGCACTCTGTTCTAAAAGAGAGTTTTTGATACATTTCCAATACAAGCTCCTAGATGTGAGGGTGTCCATGTTCCCAATCATGATGAGAGCATTCCTGGCTTTGGTCAACGCTGCAATGACTCTGCTCTCTTCGTTCAAAAAGCCAATTTCTTCTTTGATGTTGCTTCTCACTAATGACAATATTATAATGCCACATTCGCCTCCTTGAAAGTTATCCACTGTCGTAACTTTGACCCTCGCCAATCCCTTCACATATTTGCTGCTATTTCTAATAACCTGCAGACCATTATTGCTATAAAAATAAAGCAAAATATATATTTTAATTCAAAATGCACTCACCTTTTTTATTGCTTGCACCTGTTCTGTGTAAGGTGTTAAAATCGTAATCTCCTTTGGTTCATAATCATTTTTCATCAACAAGTAGTTGCATAGTGCAATCACATATTCCACCTCATGGTCATTCTTAATCCCCAGAATATTTTTGTACTTATCAGTTTTATATTGTTCTGGAAACTCGTGTGTCACAAATGACACTCTTTTAGTCAAGACTTTTATTTCAGGCTTTTGCATGACACTTTTGTCATCTTTCAGGTTTTCATAAAACAAAGGTGAGATCAGCTTTGTCATTTCAGGAGGCAACCTATACTGCACATCAAGAAAGCAATACTGTTTCTTCCTGTTTAGCACCATTCTCTCAAAAAGAGAAACATCTAAATTTAATGTTGAACTGCTCATAGTTGAATGACTGACATGTGGCTTGAGCTGCTTGTGGTCCCCTTTTATAAAAAAAATCCATTTCAAAAATTCCATTCAATATATACATTAAGCACTAACGTCTAACTTACCAATCATAATGAGATGCTGACAATTATTGGACAAGCATGCAATCACGTGAGCTTCAAAAACATCAGCAGCTTCTTCAACAATCACTGTAACAAAAGTGATAAGATTTAGATTCGCCTGTCACGGGTACCACTAACTTATTTTGTAAGAATAACAATTTCCACTCTCAAGCGATAATAGATTGTGAATGCAAGCACTGCGGTAATAAATGTTCACAATATCATATTCTAGAATGTAATGAACAAAAACTAAGCCTAAGAGAGGCTGCAAAAATCAAAATTAGCTAACTTTGTACTTAAAATTTATCAAAACATGCCTAATTGTAAAACTAATTTTAGGAAGACAAAATTAGCTTTAGACACCCCGCCGTTGTACATCTAGTTCTAGTTGTGTTCAATAAATACTCTATATATCTAAAAGTGATAAGACTGATTTATGTTACACTTTGTCTTGTCTTAAATAATTTTACAGCTCCAATATAATTAATTATTGATAGACCTACTTTAGGATCCTGTTGCCTAATATTTTAATTATTTTTTTTACATAATTACGCATTATTAAAAATAAAAATCGTTTCAAGATTTATCAATATTATAATACAACTTGCTCACCAACTTCACAACCAAGCTCATTCAGCTCCGATCTCATCTTGGCTGCACCACAAGTTGTGAGACCAATTACGTCCTGATGAGCAAGTTCTTCGAGGCGCTGGTGCCTTGGTCCTTTCAATTTATTAATGTTGTAATCCTCCAGCTCTTGACGCTTTGATTGACCTCCAACGCGCACTAGTTTGTCAGTGATTTTAAGTGCTCCTACAAGAAGCTGATCAAGGGCCCAATTTGTGTTGCTAATAACCAAAATCGGAGTTTTCCTGTTCATGGCCAGCTTGTTTTGTGTCAGTATTTCCACAATTTTCAGAGCAAGAAATGTTTTTCCTGTTCCTGGTGGACCATGGATTACAGTCAGCTCATTTGTTAGGGCTTCTCTGAGAGCCAAATGCTGGGAATCATTGAGGCCAAGCTCTTCTGCTGAAGGCCAGGCGCCGTCGTCCAAAACGTCAAATTGGTAATTTTTTTGCACTCCTTTCACAGTAATAGGCTTTCGGTTTCCATTTTTCGTCAAATACTGAGGCAAGAAATCCTCCTGTTCTACATCAATGAAATAATCTTGAAAGGGAAAATCATCCGTGATGATTTGCAAAGCTTTGAGCACCTTTAAATTACAATAAAATTTTTATAAATCCCCCTTTATTTTTTAACAAAACAAAAAACTTACATGATAGTATGGCTCAAAAAAGGCTTCACTCTCGATCATCATGTAATCATTTTCATAGAGATTTTCTCCATACTCTTCACAGAACTTGACCTGCATTTTAGACTTGGAGTTGCAATTGCTGACAGTGGCAAACAGCAGAGTTTCAAAGGAGTTGCAGGAGAATCCGAGCAAGGACCCAAACATGAACCTTTTGGAGAGGTCCAAGTTGTCTGGAAGGCCACCTTCATCAGGGACATAGCACAGGGTGGCAATTTTGCTCTGGCTTTCTTCTCGATTGGTGGGTCTCAAAAACTTCACCCTTCCATAGAATGTTAAACACGATGATGAACCCCAATAATATTTAATTTTGCTTTCCCTGGCTTTTATGATTTCTTCTACCCCCTTTCTCAGCGGCAATACGGCATCTTCTCTCAAGAGCCAGAATTGGATTTCTAGATAATGGTCCAAGCTTTTGTAAGGTCCATGGATGATATTTGGTTTGACCTCATCCGTCATATTAGTGTTTAACACTTCCTGTGGGGTTGGATAAACACTCACAGTTCTGAAGTTCCTCGTTGGCGCCTGTTGGACAAAATAATGATTATATATTGAAAGCAAGAAAAAAGCTGGTGATAGCGTAAAACCAGTGAAATTGTGTTTTAAAAAAGTATTGCATTTCTTGATGCAAAATATAAATACACAACAATAAAAATCACCAAAACTCACCATAATTTTGATTTATCCAACCTCTCCAGGCCTTGTTTAGAACTGTTCACTTTATACAGCGGCAAATTCTTCTCTGAAAATAAAAAGATTTTAAAGAAACTAAATAAAACTTATGAGACATATATAGGGTAGTGAAGATAACGGTCTTTGTGCTTCTTGAAGAAACACGATCTGTGACCCTAATTTCATGGGCAAAATAATCAACACATTTTTTCTTGCTCATGAAATAGGGTCGCAGATTGTGATCAAAACTATGTATTTTGTTATTAAAACAAAACAATTTTTCAACTACAAAAAAGCCCGTTTTCTTCACATCTATGATCATCTCCTTGAATGCCAATTGCATCAATCAAATAAGAAAAAAAATAGTTTTTGAGGTTTCAGGTATATATAGTGCAAGGCTTCAACTTCAAAAAAAAACCAATAAATTACAAAACTTAAGTTATTTTATATTTGATGTAAACAAAAACACAGACTATGTATTTAAAAATATAATATCTTTTTAAAAAATGCTTAAAAAATATAGCACTATATAGCGCTGAATCTATTGGACTCGGAAGAATATTAATATTGAGTTATCTTTGTTTTTACTGAAGTTAACTTCATTTTAATAAAATATTAAAGTATGTAAAAAAATAAGATTTTTTAATTGATCCTCGATTTAATAGTCTTAATTCTCATGAATATATTGTGTATTTATATCTTAATTTATTGAAACAAAAACGGGCTTTTCCTTGTTCCCAATTTTACAATTGCCTCGTCCTTGGTGTTGTTGCCGTTCTTCAAGAAGTGCTGTATATTAAATAAAAATTTAAATATATAATAAATTATAGCTTAATATTGATATTGTGGTCCCCAAATTCTTATCAAACAGATGTTGCCGGATATTGCCTTAGATATGAACAAACAAACGCTAAATAATTGTAAATTAAATATATAATATGTATGTATATACAGATGAGACAGATTATATTATGGCATAGTATTATATTAAAAAAAAATTTATTATAATACCAAATAAATTTAATGCCATCCATTTCTCTAACATATAAAATTATACATATATTAGCATAAATCCATTAATTATTATAGTCCAATTTATTTCATGAAAATTCATGAATTTTCGGTGGAGAGGGGTTTATTCTGTGATTATTGAAAATACAAAAACTGCTGGATCTCCAAATTATTTGCTTTTAGGCATACACACGTGGATAATTATGTAAGCAAGAGTATTACATAAATAATATTACTCTGCAAAACACTATTTTCTCGAATAAATCTCCAGTCAATGATGAAATAGTTATTTATAAAAATTCTCCATGAAAAATGTTGAGATGGAGCATTGGAAACAACATGACGAGGGTGACGAGATAATTGGATTAACCCTGGCTTATTACATAAAATATGCGTCGTGTAAAATTTTCCGTTTCGCAAACATCAAACATCGCTTCAAAATGTGGGTAATACATAATATTAGCTCATTAGAGTTAAATATTTCTTTTTGCGTACGTTAATACTAATTACTAAGATACATAAAATTAATAAAATTAATAATATATACACACCATTTGATTCGGAACATTCATAAAAAATCAGGTCTGCCTGCAGCCGCGACTGCCGAAACACAGAATTTGTCCGTCTCGCAGTTCAGTCAGTGCCTGTTATGATGGAACTAATGACTGTTCTCTGCTTGCGCCTTACACATTTTGCAGACTTGCAGAGCGACAGATCTTGTTGGATCGCGCTGGCGCTGATTCATTTCACTTTACTTCTTGTATGTATTGTGAATTGCAGGCAAGCAGGCAAGGCAAGGCATGCAGTATATTGCTGTGGTGGGGGCTGCTGAAGCGCTTTGTTGAGTTCGTTGGTAGCTCTGCGGGTGAGTCGGTGTTGCCAATTACCCATGTTGCCATGCCAGCGAGAAAATGTAAACCAAAACAAAATCCAATGTAAACAGAGCTAACAATAAGATTGAACAATTTTCAATAAAACTTCAGTTAAACTTCAGAATATTATTTTTTACAATGGACTCTGACAATGAGTCTGAAAGTAAAAGTCCTTTAACCCAACCCGACACGTAAGTAACTTATTATAATAATTTTACCTTTACAATGTACAATACATATTATTTTAAAAATAAAATTAGAAAATACTTAAAATTGGAAAAAAATGAGTGATGAATATTTGGGAAAATTTTTTGATGATGAAATATAAAAGATAATGTACATAATTAAACATAATTAATATTATTTAAGTTTTGGTGTCTATTTTATGAATGTAATTTGAAAACTTAAAAAATAATTAATTTTCAGGGGCGATTTAATGAGCCTTTACTGCACTTTAGGCAGAGGAATGCACCCATTTGTTTTGGCAGAGCTGGCTCAGATGAATGACGTAAGAATTTTGAAACGGATCGAAGGAAGTATTTTCTTTTCCGTGCCATCAACACTTGGACACAAAGAGCTTATTTTGAAGACGGCTGAAAGGACGTTGGTCATGGCCTACCACGATAAACAAACTATTGATCCGGACATACCTGCTCCTGCAGGCATTCTGCAACTGCAAAAAATTCTAACAGAGAAGGTTTAATTTCAATACAGGAATTTATATTTTTTAAATAATTATTCAATTATTATGTTTTCTGCCAGATTGACTGGGACAAAATTTTTGAAATCTGGATCATCCTGAAGGGTTCCAACCCAAAAATGACAGAGAAGGTCACGGCCAGACTGAATATTAAATCAACAGGAAAAATGAGGAAAATCTTCAAGCCAGAGAGAATTGCAAGTTGCTTGTGCAGAAGACTGAAGCGCATGACCAAGTCAATGGATTTTGTAACTAGAGGTGCTGAAATGTCCATCGACCTCAAGATTACAGATTCCTTCCTCACTGTTGGTGTGGCTCTGACGTCGACCAGTCAAGCGTCCGGTGGAAAGGACTACGGACTTCGCAGCACAACAGCCAGTGCTATGGCAATGTGTCTCACAATAAACTCTGAATCTGCAGAATTTTTCAAGGATAACATTGTCAAAGGCTCCATCGTCCTGGACCCTATGTGTGGAAAGGGGAGCATTCCCTCAGTTTTAAGCTCTGAGGTTGTGCGGATCGGCACCGACTGCGACCCTGCTCAAGTAAATATTGCCAAAAGAGTCCCCGGAGCTTTGCTCTTGTTGGCAGACGGAGCAAATCTTCCTTTCAAGCCAGAGTTTATTGACCATATAGTTTGTGACCTGCCTTTTGGACTCAAATTTAACAAAGATAATGTGACGACTTTGGTTCCGAGTGTTTTGAAGGAAACGTTTCGAGTTTTAAAATACCAAGGCAAAGCCATTTTTCTATTTTCAAAAAGTGAAAGAGACTTAATTACTGAATGTGCTCAAAGTATAGGACTAAATTTAATAACCACTTTTGAGGTGATGTTGGGAGTACTGCAAGCAGTGATCTATGTTTTTAAAAAGAGTATTAAAATCGACCAAGACTGACCTAATGCCTAATTTTTTTTTAAACTTCATTTAGGTAGTAAGATGTAAATAAGATTTACGCTGCGTTAAGCATTCTTAAACTCATCAACTAAATTTGCACTCTCTGAAGTCCAGTTTGAAGATTACTAGTTCCCAAAATCATTGTAATTATTGTCTGGATTTAACGATTTTTTATTTAAAAAAAAAAAAAATGATTGTTTGATTATTATACAATTTCGGCAGAGATCAGTCCCAAATGTGGGTGCCTTCAGAAAAATCTTATAATTAAATTATTTTCTTTTGAACTAAACAAAGCAGGAAATTTATAAATTAAACATAATAACCCATAAGATTTGTTTAATTTATTGGAAAAACTTTATTATTGAAATAAATTTAGATTTCGGAAACTTTTTCACTTTCGATGAGAGGTTTTTTCAATACTGGCTCTTCTTCGCCATTTGTAGAAATATCAGCCACACGTTTAACTCCTTGCGGATCAGTGCCTGTGTTCAAATCTTCTTCAACAGCTCCATCATCTTCAAAAAATATGTGCTTGTTTGCAGGGGTTCTTAAATACAAAGATCAATTAACATTTACTGGGATTTAAAAATTAAATAATAATACCTTTGGCCCGTCTTTCTGTCTCTCTTCTTCTTCCTTTTACTGCGCAAATTTAGATCAATGGATATTTTCTCTTGCTCACTGGTGTGTCTCTGTTCCAGCAGCGACTCAAATGTAGGCTCCTCTGCACAATCTTCGCCCTCTTCAAAACTCGTCCCAGCCCTGCCTTTATTTCGAGCTCTCCTTTTCTCTCTTTTGCGCTCTACTTTCTGTTCCAACTGTCTATTCTTTTTGGCTGCAACAATCTTGGCAACCATTTCCCAATATTTAGCTTCTTCTTTTCCTATTTAAACAAGACGTCACTTAAGGTTCTATTTAAAAAAAAAATTAAGTTCATTACCTTCAATTAAAGTGATATGAGGAAGATCCTGGCTGAGAAAATTTCCCGCTTGCTCAGCAGTGGCAAAACGGATGAAAACAAAATCACTATTTTTCCTATTATTAACGTAAACCACTCCGCCTTTTGGCCGCATTCTAATGCCCATCTGAAAAGAAAGGTTATTATTACAAAGATGATCTTAATTTGAAAATTTCCCACCAAGTATTCCTCCAAGTTTCCTTCGTGCTTTGCCTTCTCCAGCTTCAGCACTAATCCTTCTTTATAATTGCACTCGACTGACTCGACCTCCTTTTCATCGGACTTCTCTTTTGTTTGTTTGTTCTTCGTGTGCAGTTTGTTCAGAAACCTGTTTCTCAGTCGACGCCAGTCACCTCTGCAAAATTAAAAATTAAATTTTGAAATAAATTAGCTTATTATAAAATCATACTTTAGCATGACTTTCATCCCTAGTTGAGCCAACTCTCTAGTTTCCACAACAGAGTTGACTAATGTCTTCCGATCTACTTCAGTTGCAACCTCCGAATCTGGCTCATCAAAAGTTTTTATGCTCAACAACTCTTCAGGAGGCATGCTGGTCGGAATAAGCTGATTCGAGCTTTGAAAAGCCTAAAAATACGGCAATAGAATTTCAAACAATTTAGAGAAAATTAACCAATTTAGAGAATAACCTGGTATGCTTTTAAAGCATCTTTTTCCGACGCAAACTCTACGAAAGCAAAACCCTTGTTTTGGCGACTTTTTCTGAAGACTGGAAGAGACACATAAAAGACTTGTCCATACGTTGAGAAAATCTGCCTGAGCCACTCGTGGTCCTTATTTTCGGGAACATTCTCCTGATAATTAAATCTCTTTTAATAATAATTAATTTTTGAGTACAATTTTCATATCAAATAAAAATTAATTAGAACTTATAAATTTTCTTATTTTTCAATAAAAATAGCTCACAACATAAATAACGTGCTCCTCAATTTGATCCACGGGTTGAATTTCAGTCGTTCGAAAGACCTTTTTGGAGTCTTCAGTAATGTGGAGCATTTTCGACAGCTTGATGGCCTCAATGAGCATATCCTCATTGTCAGTCAACTCCTTCAGCTTGTGAAAGGACATCAGTAGAGTGATGGGCACATCTAACAAAATAAAAACAAAAATTATTGTCATGTATTAAAAAAAAAATCTTATTTTTTTACAGGGATCCTCAAGGACTTTGTGTGCAAGGAACTTGTTCCGGGACAAATTGATGTCGCTGAAGTAGAACTCGAGGACGTCGAGGATCTTCCGGAGCAAATCCTCCTTCTTCTCTGCAGCAGCTTTATCATCCTCAGCCTGCAGAGATTTGTCCGCAACAGCCTGATCGGACATGGTTCTGGTGGTGAGTACAGCCCTTTTGATTGATCCTCCTTTCTTTCTTATATCCGCTTCTTTCACGCACCAAATATTTCTGCGTAGGCTCGAATTGCAAAAAACGAAACAAATTTAAATTTTAAAATTATTTTCGTTTGTAAGATGTAGGAAAAATCCTGAATATCTTTTTACCGGCGTCCCGCGCCTGTTTTGCGACTTGCATATGGAATCAAAACAAAGCTAGGGCGCATGCGTTAGAATTTGTTCAGCCAAGAAGCGCGCGAGGAAGATTTTTTTTCCAATGAGAGCAGCCACCGAACGAGATTATCATTATATTTATTTACTTTTATGACGTCAGAGTCAGACGCTTTACCAAGTCAAAGAGGAGCTAAAGTATTAGCCAGCTCCAAAATCTGGACTTTCAAATAAGTGCTGTTGTTTTCGGATTAAAATATTAAAAATTGAAGTTTAAATAAGCAAAAAATCCAAAAAATGTTCCACGGAAAGGAATATTTGTACCCAAGGAAGCGTCCGAAGTTCAGAAATTGGGATAAAGACACTTCTGGTAATCATTAGATTTTTATAAAATTGTATTCATTTGAAACTCTTTAAATAATAGTTTTTGCTCTCTTTTTTTGGAGACTCGAATTTAATAAATTTTATTATTAGGCGTTGAACTGCGGCACCTCAGAAGTTTAACCCTGACCGACGAACAAGTCATTCAGGTGTCCCGTGGCGAGTGGTTGGTGGCCTCGACTGATGACGGCGGGCCAGTTTTCGCTGTCGAGAGGGCCATCGAGGAGGACGAAGCCCTGGTGGAAGGTCACAACGCGTCCTGCGCCTTTTGGGGCGTGGACGACATTTACAATGTGAACGAGGGCTACTGCAGATCTTGCTTTATCTGCTGCCATTTGTACAATTGCGACTGTCCGGACAAACATCCCATTTGCAAGCACGTGCACAAAGTGCATTCTTTTAATCTAAAAGTGAGTTTATTTAAATATAACAAAAATTTTATTTGAAAATGGAATAATAATCTAGGTTATTGAAAATCAAAGGCCACATGAGTTGGATAAAACAATTGATGCGGACTTTGAAAAATTGGAGAAGGTGCGTAAATCAATCAAGGAGAGGGACAAAGTGGAATTCAGTGAAGAAATTTTGTGGTTTTTAAATAATTTAGAAAATAAGTTTGAGCTTAAAAATGTTTTGGATTAAATTTTCAGCGATATAAATTAAAAAGCAAATAATTTTTTTATTTAAAGTCATTTTATTTTAAATTTTAATATATATACAAAATAAAAAATAAATTAATTTAAAAAAATATAAAAATATTTACATAGATCATCAATGTCTCAAAATAGGCGATTTCTATGCACATTCAAAACACCTTGAATCATTTTTATCGCATCGTGATGCCCACAACTTTCCGCCAACTGAAGTGCACTGTTTCCCAACTTGTCCCTCGCGTCAGGATCAGCCCCCTGTGAGATAAGCAGACCCATTATGTCCGCGTGACCTCCCATGCAAGCCAAGTGCAACGCAGTCATCCCTTGTTCATCTTGAATATCAAAATCGCGCCTGTCCGAGCTGACTAGCAATCGAACTATTTCGAACTTGGGCGCCGCACACGACACGGCTAATTGCAAAGGTGTCATGTAATAGGACAATTCGGCGTTGGGATTCGCATTATTTTCCATCAAAATCCTTACAACGTCTATGTTACCGTTTTCCACTGCCAAATAAAGTGGCGTCCGACCCAGTTCGTCAACACCATCGACGGGTAACTGAATTTCTTGGAGAAAATAATTTATTAGTTTATCACGACCCATTTTAGCTGCCGCGTGCAAACACGATTTTGGGTCTGCGCCTTTTTCGTGCAGAATGTGGACCATTTCTTCTTCGCCTCGTTCCACCGCGAAATCAAGTGCGGTGCCGTGATTACTTTTCACTTCTAAATTCAGTTTAGGAACCAAAGTGAGCAGATAGGAAAAAATTTCCATATTACTAGAGTAAATTGCAGTTTGTACAGGAGTGAAGGTTCTGTGCCCTTTCACATTTAGTTGGATGCCACTGGTTTCGCAAATGAGTTTCACCGACTCCAGATTTCCTGTTTCAATGGCCAGCACGAGGGGTGACTTTCGGTCAAAGCCAACAATATTGCAGTCGGATCCTTTGTATATTAAAAAACGGATTAGCTCCAAATTCTCCTCCATAACAGCGTAATGTATTGGCAACCTTCTATTAAAATCCGGCGTGTTTATCATTTTTCCCATGTGGTCAAAGTTGTCAATAATGAGTTTATTCACCCCTTTCTTTGCCGCCCAATGCAGGACAGGGTGTTGCTTCGAGGTGCAATCTACGTTTTTTATTTCTGCGCCCTTATTAACTAGGTAGTTTATTAGCTCAGCGCTTGCTAATCTTATCGCCCAATAGAGAGGAAAGTCGTCGTATTGCGAGTTGTTCACTTTTCCAAAAAGTTTATGAACATTGAGCAAATTTAGTAAAGGGTTGTATCGATGGGAGTTATTCAGGTCGAACGGCATTTTTAATTCGAACAACATTGTGAGCAGATGAAGTTGATCTGCCTCTACTAAATCCGACAACAGAAATTGACAGTTTGCCATGAGTTTTTGTCCGGATAATAATAATTTAGGTTTTTTTGAAGACGTGAGAGATGAGTGGGCTATTATCGTGTTCATGAAGCGCCTTATCGCTAAAAAGTTTCCTCCCAGCATAACTTCCTCCCAGTTTTTGTTGGACACTGTCAAGCGCTCAGCACCGGGAACGTCATATATTTTAAAAACAAAACTCTCGGCACACAAATATTCCGCAAACGTGCGATGCAGAAATGCAACTTCGTAACCACTCAAGGATTGCGTGACAGTTGCCAGTCCCAAGGTGTTCATTTCACTGGCCTCCGATTCGTCAACTTTGGAGCACCGACCCTCTTCGAAGATGCTTGCGATGGCCAGTTTGTATAAAATTAATCTAATTTTTCGCTCCTTTTCGTCCAAATCGCCTCGCTGTTTTGCCTGAGTCAAATCGTATTTGAACTTTTCCCTCAGGGCTAGTGCAATTCTCTGTTCAATGAAAATACTAAACAGGTCTGAATGCCTCTCAAAGGCCTCGGTCAGCTTTCCGTCGGGAAAAGCCTCAGCCACCATCCTCAGCTGCAACGGTATACCCCATAGATCTTCTTTTGAAGTAAATTTCCGCCTTAATTTTTCCAAAATACTTTCAGCCTCCGTTTTGAAATTCCGATTTTGTCGTGGAACAATAAAATTTGTACCATTCAAGTCATCTTTATTTAAATTTCTTTCATAAATATGGCTCCAGTACTCCACCAAATATTCAACTTGCTTTTCCTCTGAGAGAAATTCCAATTTGAAAACACTCCAATCATTTTTATTTAAAAGGCAGTCGAGAATTTCCTGCTCTTCTTGAGGTCTTGTTGTCACGATCATTATCATCCCGGCTGAGTGAATCATATTTAAAAATTTCTTTGCTTCCTCTCTGTAGTAAGGGCACACTTCATCAAAAGCGTCCAGCAGGATGAATGCCCTTTTCGAAGCGAGCTTCACTTGCAACACCTCATGTCGTATTAAATCAGTCGGCTCAATTTTTTTCGCCAAAATTTCCAATGCCTCTCTTGCAGTTTCCAATTTTGATTTTCCCTTTTTTATCTCGTAAAACTCATTGTGACACGTGTTGAGCTCCAGCCTGACAATCCAATGGTCAGGAAGAGTTTTTTGCAAGCACTTCCTGAGCATTCGCAAATACGTTGATTTTCCCATACCGGCGTTTGAGGAAACAAGAAAGGCGCCCTTTTCGCATTCTAGGATGCAATTTTTAGCAAATTGGTCGATTTTAGGATAAGTTTCCAATATATTTGAAATGTCTTGTTCAATATAAAACTCAGTTTCCCAATTTGAATTTGTATTTCCTCCGTGCGGAAATTTCAGCGCGTCTGCCAGCGATAGGTCATTTATGAGGTAATCATACACTTTTGATATTTCAATCTGATTGCCAAAAAAGTCAATTTTTCGCGTTAGTAAAGAATGCTGACTTCTTTCGTCAAGATTTTCACAAGTAATTTTCTTGATAGAAATTGCGTCTTCAGCCTCACCCGCGGTGCCACCAATGAGCACCACTTTTGCATTGTAGCTTTCAAATGGCACTATTTCCTCCTTTTCTTCCAAAATTATCACTAATATACCGTTGAAAGATCGTAGCCAGTTGTCTCTTTGGTGATGTTCAATCTTCAAAAATTTATCTTGATTGATGAAATACAGCTTTTCAATTGAATTGTGCATCAGCTTGGCCAGAATCATTTTCTCCTCCATTCTTTTCAAGCCGAGAATATGACGTCCCCCAATTTGTGTTACAAAATCAGAATTTAATTTGAAGTCGATATTTTCCACTTCTTCATACAACAATTTCCAAGCCTCTTTCATCAGAGAGTCAAAGTGATTTTGCACCTCGGCAACCGCAGTTTGAAATTTTTCTCTGTGGCGCAACAAAAAACTTCTAAGCCGCGGAATAAATTCACACGCATTTGAAGATTCCATTCTAATGTTCCCGTTTTCAAAATTGAATTTTGGAAGTTCGTCGAATGATTTCCGATCAGTCAAGGTTAAAAAAGGAACCGTTTTTATGCTTTCAATTTCTCTTTCATCAAAGGCAAACCAGGGCAGAAGTTTAGAGTCAAAGTTCACAGCTTTGGCACGGGAAATGTCAATCAACTGACTCATTTCCTTGCCTTTAATATCGTTAAAATTTGCAATTCCATGCAAGCCTACATTTTTAATCAACGACCAGAGAGAAGGAGATGCAAGTTGGTTGCTGTCTTTCAAAGAAATAACCATTCCGAGGTGAGGACCGAGTTTGGAAAATGAATTAATCAAATTTCCATCTACCACAAAATTTGTTATGTCCAACCAAAGTGATTTTATTGTAACGGGATTTTCTTGGGCGATTTTCTTGATTCGGTCGAAACAAGGTGGCGAGTCAAAAACTACCGTGTGCGGGTATATCAAATTTTCAGACTCTGAATTTTTGCACACAATATTATTATTTATTCGCAAATGTCTGATCGTGTATGTGGTCATTTGGGCCAAGTATCCGCCCAACGAGTGGCCGGTAATGAAAAGCTGGACAGGTGACTTGAATTCGGCGACCAGTTTTCGCACCCTTTCGCTAAAGGTGAAAGCCGAGTTTATTTCGCCACCATCGTACTTCAGCAGGACATTTCCAATATCTGTCCTGAACCAATTCCCGACCGTTTTGCTTCCTCTGATGGCCAGCAAAAGTTGTCTCTTTTCTTTGTTAAAATAAAGCTGAGCGTAAAATCCTTCGAGTAATTTAAATACAACTTTGCCCTCAGCGGAAAGGAGCAAGAGCCAGTCTTTTTCATTTTGTTCTTTCTTCTTGTAAACGATACCAGCAAATTCTTGGAAGAAATCAGGACTTGGAAATTCTTCGTCTGGTCTGTAAATATTGCTGGTAATTGCATTTTGAGCTTCTTTGACAATTTCCAACACTTGTTCATCATTGACGTAGTCAAAGAGATACTTAATTTTATCGTCTACCTTCAGTGAGTCAATCTTTGTCGTCATTTGGGCTGTTTCTTTCATTAATAGGTGTCAAATTTTTTCAGCCTCTGTAAAGAAAAAGAAAAAAAAAATTGATAAAATTTTTTTCAATTAAAAAAAATAATATAAAAAAAATTTAAAGAGAAAATAGGTAATAAGAGAATGTAATATTAAGTTTTGATTCAATTTAATTATTTGTCTTTCTGACTTTTGTTCAGGAATCGGTTTTGTAATAGTTAATTATGTTCTGTTTAACGTTCCAACATTTAATTATGAGGGATAGCTTTTTAAAAGAAAATAATATTCAATAAAACTTAAAACACTAGTGAGAAAACCCCGTTTTGAAGTCCAATCCATTAAGGTCAACGCCTTTTTGCAGACCAAGAACGAATGTTATTTTGTCACCAATCTTATTTCAATTGTAAAATAATAGTCTGCTCTATAAATACATCAATTATTGGCATTGTCATTAATTCATTAAAACTTACCAGCAGCAAAATGTAGTTTCTGCCTGTGTCTTTGTTGTCACTGTTGTAACGTGTAGACGGTGACTTTCCTCGTACAGTGCTCCACCATAATATTGACAGTGGTGCACCGGAAAACATATGATTTTTTAGCACGAGAGTGGGGCTTTCAATGACATCATCCTTGGTGCTTTTTATCTCGCCCCTCCACTCCCATCAGACACCAATTTAATATTTCTTAACAAGAATTAGCTCAAATTGATAAAGATTAAGCAAACTATTTTTTATAACAAATATTAATTGATAAAAATGTGCAACAATGTGTATTTTATTTTCTTAATTATATTTTATGTACTTCAAATAAATTTATACATATTCATATCAGGTATTCTTATGATTTAAAATCAGTTAAAAATTCAGCAAGATTAACTTATAATTAAGAAAAATTACTGATTAAGTGATTAATATTTTTAATTAACTTACATAATAATAGGAACGGTATACCTAGTCCACGAAGACCACTAAATAAAGTAATCTGCGATCTGCGCGGCCTAGCCTTTCTGACCTGCAAGTTGAGCCAGTTCGAGAATTCTTCGACAGAGGGAACGAGCGGTACCATTTCTCTATAACGTGCTTTGTCCCAGGACTGACCACAGTGACCACATAATTTTTTTACAAGGTAAAGCAATTTATTACATGTAAATTTTTGACATTTTAAATTAATAAAAATATTTTGTTGATTGTCAGTCCAAAATGAAGAGAAAATAATTCCTAAGTTATTGTTGGGAGACAATGATTAATAAAAAATTAAGTTTTTTTATTATTAAATTTTAGAAATTCAAGAATAGAAGCAATTTTCTGAGAATGTTTCCGCTACAGGACAAAAATAAGGCAAAGGAGGGTGCAAAGTAGGTGTTTATTTAGAAGGCGCGCCTTTCGGGAGAAATGGCCACCGGTGCGTTGCGCCAGGTAATTTAAATGCAAATGCGATTCATAAAATGCAAACTTAAAAATCCGCACGTACGCGTTTTTCTGTAACTTGACATTTATTATCTCAACAAACTTTCCTGCCTCCGGCTCTTGTTCGTATTTATTTATTGCTGCTCGGCGCGGCTTTCCTCTCTCTTTCACCTAATCCAACTATGCGCTTTTCCTGCGCTCGCGTCTTTTTTTTGCAGCGATATAAAGCTACGCGGAAAACGATAAGGTAGACAAAAGAAAGGAAATAATTTGAAATGTAATTCTAAAATTTATTATGTTAAGAAAAATTTCTATTCTAAATAATTTCTGATAAAATTTTCTCCTGCCCGAGGGTCTTTAAATAGTATAAGAGGCCCCCTTGCGAGGTTTTTTTTTACGAGTCTTACAATAATTCTTTCAATTCGACTCCCTTTCAATTAATATTGGCCTGTGATTAAGCTCTTGATTATAATTTTGTACGGCACGCCCTCCGGACTGATTTCTGTTCAGTGCAACCATTCTTATATTCATAACAATAAATAACAAAAGAAAAGAAGTAGGTGCGGAATCAAAGGGAGAAAATAAGTGCTCATTGATTATGATGATTTTGCGTCGGAAACACCCACTGGGGGCCTTTCATGCAAGTGTTACATATTTCGGCGGCGCGCGAGTTTGGCGAGAGAAAGGGCTGTTCAAGAGAGAGAGAGAGAGAAAGGGCGGCGGGAAGAGAAATGTTATGGCCCGAAAAACATCCCTCGGAGAATAGCTTTAGAGGCTTGTTTACTCGGCATAAAGAAAAAGCCGCGCAAACCACCAGCAATGAAATTTTTACGCCGGAGGTGGCAAAGCGAAAGGGAAAGAAAGGAAGTGGAGCCGCCAAGTGCTTATCATCGCAGCGTGATTTTAATTCACCCTCAATCGCGCATTCTCACTCCCGACGAATTACTTTTGACAAGCGCCTGAAGCAAATTTTAAAACTAATAATATCAAAAGCATTTATTTAAAAAACAAAATATGTATATTTTATTAAATACCGATAAAAAATAATTAATTTATATATCCCTAATTTATTCCAACAAAAAGGGGTAAAAAAATGATTTATTTGGGAAGGAATTGTATTATTTCATAATATAAATTTCAAATAAAGAAATATGGGGATATTCACATATACTATGTTAGTATTTTCTATATTTTTTAAGTGAAGATGATGTGACAAATTGAAATCCCAAGGAAATCCAGGTGTGAATGAGACTCAAAATTTTGAAGGAAAAACCAAGTAAAAATTTTCGTCAGAAAATCATGGGACAGATGCTTCATGCACAAAATGATATGCTTTAGAAAAGTTTCCTCATTGGATTTCTGTGAACTGTTTCCTATCAAAGATTATTAAGAATGAACAAGGAAATTTTTTGATTATATATCAAGACACTTTTTTCTGCATACAACTCTTTTTATAACAATAAACCGCAATTTTCTAGAGAAATTCGGAGAAAGAAAAATTTCCTCTTGTGCAGGTCATCAATTTGCGAGTGTCAAGTTTTTAAGTTTTTTTTTTGCAAATCGTAAAAGAGCATTTTTCAAGAGCACCAGATTGAAATTTAAAATCATGCACATAAATTTCCCGGCGGAGTTTGAAAGGCCGCCCTGCCGCCGGCTCATTACGGAGAGAACGCAAAATTCGCGCGAAACAAATAATGAAAATATATCCACTTTCCAGCGAAAATATATTAAGAAGTTTGTCCGGCGAGGACAGCGAGCGAGCGAGTGATACGACGGACGCGCGGCTAATAACACGCTATTAAAATGCAGACACACCGCCGCATAATTTATGAATGCCCATAACTTTCATGGCGAAATAAGCGCTTTTTAATTTTTTTCTCTGCACTCGCTACTCATTCAACGGCCGCGCGCAGAGAAGATAATTTTAATGTGAGAGGAGCGCACATCGCTCGCGCAGTAATTACGCACGCTTCCCAGAATATATCAGACCCATGAGCGTCCACTCTCCGAACTGAGTGCTTGATGATCAGGTGTAATTTAGCAAATAAGTGTTTCTTAATTTATGTGAAAATCTGGGATCAAAATTTTTTTCATCTAGCGGGATTTCTATTTTAATAATTTTTAAATAAAATAATTATGTGGCGAATCTATCTTAAATAGAAAAAGTAATCCTGTTCGTCATAATTTTATAATTTAAATTGTATAGCATTTTGTTACAAAATTACAAATTGAAATGTTAAAATAATATAAAAATTGCTATTCACAAATCTATATTTCTAACTAGTTTGTAAGGCGCTGAACTAATTTTGTTCAAAATTTAAATTATATTTAAGTAAAAAAACTCGATAATAAAAATATCTTTGTAGTATCTTCAGACGTGTTAAATTGACCATTTCATTTAAAATTCTGATTATTTTAGAATACCCGCAGTGCATAAAAGTTTTAAAACCAAACCCTTTTAGAAGATTTCGTTTTGCCAAAATTCAGTCCAAAAGTTTTTCCTCGTGTGTGTTTCTGTTTTGTTTATTTATATGCGTGCGTTTGCTACGTACGGCAGCAAGTCGAGCGCGTTTGTTTGCGATGGTGCTCACTCAAATCATCATCCACTGCAGCACTCCTAAATTATTAATTCTGAAGAAAAAAATAAACTGCCGGGCAAAGAGCGCAGACACGAAGTGGCAAATGAATAAGTAACAGAGCTCTTCTGACCTTCTCCGGCAGTGTTTAGAATAAGAGAAACGTCATGCTCTTTTGCAACATATACTGCCTCCACTCTAAGACTTCTCTGTGGTCCACCAGTTTCAATTATTGGGAATCATTGTTAAATGATTGCAGTTGTAATAATTTTAAAAGACACTTGATTTATTTTTTCTTATTTCCCCATGTAATTAGCAAAAAATTGAACTGTTTTTACTCATTTTAAGCTGTTTTCTAATTTTTTTTTGTATTATTTTATTCTCTATTTTTATAATGTAAGCAAATTAAAAATAAATCAATAAAAATACTTTTTTCTTTTATTGAGAGAAATAAATATTGAAATTTAAATTAATTCCTTTTTTTTAACTAATCAACCTAATCGTACATTTTAGATTTTAAACATAAAATGCATGAAAAATAATACCCTGTATTATTTTAATTTCTGTTTAAAGTAAAATAAGATGTCTCGCTTAAAAGACTTATTTTCGTAATAACTAACTAACTTAAAGAATTTTTATTGTAAAAATTTTAAATCTAGACTTTTTCCACCGTATTCCATGACTAAAAGTTCCGCCTGAACTCAAATTTGAAATTTTGGAACATTTTTGTTAAAATATTCTCTTAATTAATTCATGATGAATTTTCACATAAAAAATTAAAGTGTTATGGAGTCACTCCTCTCATCCAAAGTGGTCCCAATCTGCATGTCGTAAAATATATAACCCACCAGCCCATAAATTTGCTTGTAAACTACGTCCGTAAATGTACACGAGCAGCGTCTCGTGCATAAGTCTAGAAGGGTGAAAACGAACAAAAATATATAATAATCGAGCAGCAGCGGCGGAGAGCATCGTTATGCAATAAAACAGCATCTCTCCCTGGCGTTTTGGCCGTTAGGTGTGTGTCGTTACGATTATTATTCTTACGTGCAGATTCAAAAGATGCATGCTTTCCTCCTTCTTCCTCCCTTCGTAATAGAAAGAAAAAAAAATGTCGAAGAGCAAGCAAGGGTGAAAAAAAATCGAGCTTGCAATGCACGCATGGTGCATCAACATTAGAAGGGGAGTGCAGCTTTCTTTCATCTGCTGGTCTGAGAGAGAGATGCATTGTATGATATACTATATAACCATATTCAACGTTCGCTGCTTTTTTAGTCGGTGGAATGATTTTCCCATTCGGCGGTGTGCTGCTTAATTAGCCCAGCCCGCTGACAGGACTTTTCTCTCCCTGATCTTCTCTCTTCTACAGAGAGGCACATAAACAAAGGGAGAGCAGCTAGCGCTGCTATTAAACCCTCTTGAAATTGGAGATGACTGACGAAATCATCAAAGAGCTCATCACAAAAGTGACTTCGTTGATTTGGAGCATTTTATATGATCGAGTTCCCACAGAAAAATGAAAATGAAAATATTATTTAAAATATAAAAAGTTTGAACCTATCTTGTTCAAAGGGCAAGATAAATTAATTGATAAATGGTTTTTGAGATCAGAAATTTTCAAAATTAAATCAAGTGAGTTTGTTTATTCAATTATCCTTGATAATTTTTTTTCAATAATTTCCAATAATATTGAATTTTCTGGAATTTGTGTCTACACTGAAATTATGTAATTATTAATACTTTATAGTCAATAAACTTTGACGAAAAGATCAGATAGGATGAAAAAATTTAAATCTAAACTGATTTTCTTTCGTAATAATTTTCATTAATAACTTTCAAAATTGGTTTTATCACAAATAATTTGAATTTTAAATTTAAACAAAAATTGTTAAATTTTCTAAACGAACTCAACCCACCCCTGCTCTTTTGATCTTTGCTTGCACGTGATTTCGCAAAATAGTTGAAATTTCAGTCAGACACGCCAACCCAACATTTTT